TGTGAGTATTAATCGCTCTAAGTAACAATTCTTCCGGTGTTGAGACAGCTGCCATGCTACATCTTGATCAGTATGTGTTAATGGTTGCTTCCTTCCACAAAAAAGAATTTCTTAAAAATGGCAATGCCAATGAAGCTAATATTTGGGAAACGGAAACGATAAAGTGTTATGGTAACAATTGTTATGGTATTAGTGCACAGTTTGGCAATAATGCGGTAAGATACAGTGAAGGAGTGCAAAAGCTTACAGTGAAGGAGTGCAGAAGATGTGTCAAGTCTCTTGCCCTTGTGAAGAAGGGTTCCACTGTCCATGGTGATTACTGCAGGCATCTCTAACCTCAAAGCTTTCTGCATGAGGCTTTGACTGTAGGTGGTAAGGACAGAGACCCATTGCTGTACAGAATTGTTTTGTAGGTGCATCTGTTGGTGAAGGACAGTTCTCAGGTGGTTTCCCTTACTTTCTGTCCTCAGTAAGCATATTAAATAATGGGATCACCATACTCAGTATTAGAATATGTAAGTACAAAGCAGTTTTAAATGTAAGCTGATGTTCTCTTGATTAAATGTAGTGGAATGCCATGTTTATATTTCCTTGCAGAAACTGGAGATTGGAAAGATAGGGGTCTTGATTCGCTTTAACATCTTGATAGTACTAGCTACTTGAAACAGCTTCAGTACTGTGTCCTACTAAGACAAGAAAAAGCTACTGTTGTGAATCCTTTCTGAGGAATTTGTACAAGGATAAGCCCTCATACAGTATGGCATGTACTGAACCTGTAACTGGTCAAACTTGAGAGATGGAAAAAGAGATGTTAAATGCTCAGGTGCTTTTTTGGCCTTCCTTCTTTGCACGAGAGTAATGACAATTAGAACAATTAGCTAAAGAAGTTACTACTTGGGACATGCCAAATCCGGCAAACTGCAAAAAAAGCAGTCTGCCTGAAGAACCATCATGTATTCTTAAAAACAGACTTGTTGGTTGTCCTGTCCTTTCTCTGGGACTTCTATGTTGTAGTACTTGAAAAGAAGCAAGAGCAGAAGAGTTCATATGTGTTTATTCTGGTACTGCCTCATATGGTTCAATATAGCTTGAGCATGTTGAATTTAAGATGAGCTCTAGGTAAGTTCACCACAAATAAATGTTCTGCATGGCATACACCACTATCAAGAATTCTCAGTAAAACTAGATAGCCATTTTTACCCATGAGAAACTTCAATATGTTAGTGTATTTCTAGTGTGTGAAAAATCTCAGATCTCTTCTGGCTAACAAGTCTTTTCTTATTACTAATCCAGTTCTAATGTGGAGGCTATTCACAATTTGCACAAGTAGCTTATTGTCATGATGCATTACTGGAGATGAAATAGTAGACTATCTGTATTTTTCAGTGCACTGTGATACAGCAATGGAAATGTCTATGTAGGAACAGAGTTTAACTGTTTCTTGGCTAAATTCCTGTCAGTGTATGATAGAATTATCAGCATGTTAATGTGTCCTATTTTTAACTTTAACAGTGCAAGTAAACACTCTGAGCGTTCTTTGGAGTGATTGGATAGAAGACTATTTTGATACGAAGATGTGTTGACAAGAGCATTTTTGATCTGAATGCTAAAACTGTTTCTTTCCCCTTTTGTCACACCCCCTCCAAATCCACAATGCGTTAGTGTTTTTTACTGCATATGAAGATCTTACCATACATGTATTGCAGTTCTAAAATAGTGCTAGTGCAGTTTTTTCCATTCAGTATGTGACTTGAGTAGAAGCATTGTTTCCTCATGAGCACAAGCATGAAAATACTATTCCTGCTTGATTTGCAGCTGAGACCACAGTGGTACTTTAAATCTTGCATTAAAGGGAAGAACTTGGAGCTTTGTGTATGGAATACTTTTGTGCCCACACTGTAATATCTGTTCTCACTGTTTTATTGGGCAGCCACTGACAACGGATAACCACCAGTAACCTTTCAGTTATTACATATTGTGTGTGCTTCGGAATATTTTTCTAGGAAGTATTGCATGGTGTGGAGAGACAAGACAAACAGAACAAAACTTTCTTGTGTTCACAGTGTGTGTATGTTGGACCTGATCTGGTAACTGATAACTCAAAATTTGCAAGCCATTATCTCCTTTCCAGAATACAGCAGGCTGAGCTATTGGCTTGTTTGAGCACTACAGTAAAATGTGTAGATGTCACATAATGGTTGAGGTTGGGAGCGACCTCTGGAGGCCAATGTGTGCAGGTCGTACCAGTACCTGTCCAGCCATGGTAATGTGCTGAGTAATGTAATTGTCTCTTAACACTAGATGGTAGGATAGTCTCCACCTTCTCATAAAACCTAATGGTGCAGGTTTCTTCTAGCCCTTCGTTGATCTTCCCTGACCCGTCTTTTCAAAGAACAATTTTATTCCTTCTTATTAAAGACATGGCATGCCTTTTTTTATAGGCAGGTTTCTTGGCCAAAGCATAAAACCTACTTAGATAATGTAAATGTAAATCCCTTTATGTAGTACATTAAAATTTAATTTGTTCCAAGTATAATGTGATGCTTTTCTGTGAGAAGTAAAGATAGTTTTTATATGAAGGAATAATAACACACAATTACACTGTTGCATCCTTGGTTGGAGGATCTGTTGTCATGGCTGTGAACATCTTTGTTAACCTGTTTTTTGTTTTAATGTATCTTTTTTCTTCCCAACTGCTGATGGTGTGTGGGGAGAAGTGAGGAGAAACTTATCATCAGTGCTGCTGGAAACAGCAGTACCTTGATAAGGGAGATTTTAATACCTAGGGACAGTTCAAAGTTTTATTCTTGCATTTCTAGGAAAGTCATCTGAAGGATGAGTACTCAAGGGCATCAGAGTACTGTAGTATGTAGGCTTACTCTTTTTTGTTGAAACTTTAAGGTGTGTGAATTAGGTGAGGATCCTGATAAGAGGTCTTTGCATTTCTTCAGTTCTTGTTTAGGCAGGTTAGGATAGGCTCAGCAAGTGAGCGGCTTGTGGCTGTATCTGTTAAATTAAAACTAGTTAATTAGTATCTTCTTGAAATAGAGCTGCTAGGGTTCATTCTGTGTAAAATCTTAAATGTAGCAGCAAGGTAATTCTGTATTTTGGTCCTCACTTTATTGTGATGTTCTTGCCACTCTAGATGGATCACACACCACTTCCTTCTTGATTTGTGTGTCTGAACATAGGTAATCAGCAAATCAGTATATTCATTGATCAAAGGCTGTGCAGATCTCTCCAGGTAACAGCCATTAGTTCTCTATTCCAGAGAGCTGCAGTTCAGCAAACTGGGTAATTCTGTGTTACATTTCTTTTTGTCCTCTTTTTAACGTGTGTAATGTGTGATATACATGTATGTATGTATACACACGTGCATATAAAAATATACATATGTATACAACACGTGTATCTAATCCCTTTGGGAGACAAGAAATAATTATTTAAGAAACCTCTCTTGGAAAGGTAACAATCTGGAAACTGATCACGATTCTGCCTACTGGTATAAAGCTTATGCCATACAGGGTCTCCAGATGTGTTGCAGGTGCACCTGTTTTTAAGTGAATTTCGTAATTGGAGTCATTGAGAAGCACTGATGTGAATCTGTGCTAATGACTTTTGGATAAGGTTGAGATAATCAGATTATTTTTTTCAGTCTGCTTTGTATGTTTACTGCTGATTGTGAGGGGATATGGATGACACCCTTCAGAATGACTATGTATAAATACTTGCTCTGGACTTTATGCTGAAGGTATATTTAGTGTTAATGTATCAGGAAGAGGAGCAGTTCAATAAAGTATCTCACATTAAACTTTCTTACTGGGTCCATTCAGCATGAAGCATACTTCTTAATAGCATAAATTGGGTCCAGACTATTTTTTGTGTTATTCAGTGAATGGGAGTTTTGCCTTTGACCTCATTGGGATTGAACCTGTAATTGCTTAAGTGTTTTATAAGACCTCTGGGATGCAGGCTGCTTCACAAATTCTGCTTGAGCTGGTTTGTTGAATAGTATTCTTCAAATGGTATTCAGCGTCTTTCTAGTATGTTCACTCTTTATACTTGTTGCCTTGGATAACTAACAAACTTTGCTTAGAGTGTTGCCTGCAGATTTGTTACAGCAAGTGTAGGAAACTGAGTTTGTATGTTCAGGTGTTCACCTGGCTTGGCAAAAAAACCGTGCTGCTTCAAAAGTAAGCATGCGACATCATGTATGTGCACACACTTTTATTGCATGCAGATTGTATTGTTTACACACACACATTTATTTTAATATATATCAAACTGTTAATATTTCTGCATTGTAAGGCTGAGTGTTGACTTGTAAAGGAAATCCACAAGTTGGTCTTCATCCATGAAACTGATGATTACGGTGTCTGTCATCCTTCATTTTAAGGAAGGAAGAGTGTTTGGGAAGAGACTTATCTTTCCTCCTTCTCCTGAAATGTCACCTTCCTTTCTAGCAGCATCACCTTACAATGAATAGTAGAATAGTTTGCCAGGAAGTGAATAATTTATTTCCGGAAAAATCGATCAAATGACAGCAAAGTCTGAAGTACGGGAAATGCTGTAGCTGAGACCAGTAACTTGTGGTAGAACAGTATATGCTTTCAGATTAAGAAGTAAAGCCTCCTGTGCCGTACAAGTCACTTCATTTGAAATTTTGTAGTTTTTTTTTTTTCTAAAAGACCTTGTATTTGTTTCTTAGTGCTGTAGAACTGATTCTTAAAAGTATTTATTATTCTGACTGCTAGTGGATTGCCCTGAGTGAAGCAGAATACCTAAATCTTCTGTGTAAGTTTTTTTTTTTTTTTTGCATACCTTGAAATCTCTCAGATGTCTCATGCGGGGAATGGAAAAGAAAAGTTAAAACTTCTGCTGGGTCATTCTTTAACTTTTCTGTTAAAAGTAAATTAGTTTTTATACAATGTATTAAATGCCCCCTTTACTCTGTTAATCACATAAAAATTTTTTTTTCTAATTTTTTTTTTTTCCCCAAGGAGCCCTTTGAAGATGGCTATGCAAATGGTGATGAAGGCACACCAGCTGGGGAAGCTACTGCCTCTTACACACCTGACAGCAAAGGAGTGGTCAAGTTTGGCTGGATAAAAGGTGTATTGGTAAGTCTGGTTATTGTACTTCAGTTTCTTACAGATTTGGTCTTTCTATTAGCCTTGTTTTCTTGAGAGGGATTGTGATAGTGCTGTATAAAGAAAAGATTATATATATGAGAGATGTGAAAAATGCCATAATTTTGGGTAAGGTTTCTTATACTGAATTTTAAGGAAATGAATACTTCAGGGCTTAAGTTTTCAAGTTATCATGGCTTCTTAGCACTGGTTTTGTGATTTTGAAGTTGCATAATTTCCAGGAAGGAAGAAGATTATGCAAGTATTCATATGTAGTAGAAAATATGAATCTTAAATGACAAAGGCAAATGAACTGAATACACTTTGTATGTGTTCAGCTTGGATCTGTAAGACTTTGGATTGAAGTGTTAGAAAACTTGATTTCTATTTGTTTTATTTCACGGAAACAAAAAATGTGTTGAGCAGAGTACCTACCACTATCTGGCAAAACTTGACCCAGATTAAGTATTTAAATTTCGTTGAACCTGGTACAAAAAGTAATCGTCTCCTAAGGTGTGGAAGTCTTAATACTGAACAGTATAGTCATGGTGGAAAAAACTCGAGTCTGCTCCCATCTGGAATAGTGAAAAATTGAAGGTGACATGGGGGATTTTATAACAAGTGCATATTAACTTATTTTTAATATTTTGGCAAGGAGAAACTATGATTAATATGTACTCTCCAAAGCTGAAAGAATTTATAGTGATGGTTGCAAGTGCAACAGTTGGTTAAAATATACTGAACTTGAGCATTCAAAATATCTAGCTTTAGTTCAGCAGTCTTGCACTGTGTAACAGCAACTTCTTACAAGTCTTCAAGTAGCCATATTCATTCATATGGGAGAAGGAGAGTGCCTATAGTAGCTGTGAAATGGGTATTACAGACTTCTACTGAGGTACCCCAACCAAATTCAGAGTTGGTCATTTTGAAGCAGATGTGAAGCTGACTTTGAATGTCTCCAAACCCAAATCCTCTATTGGGTTATTTTTGTAAGCAACAACTCAAAGTATTAAAAAGAGTTATGGGATAAAAGTTGCTGGCCATTTTATTCCAAAGGATATTTAAGTTTCAAGGAGAATGATCTCTTTTTCAGTGGTTTGAAAGTTGCAGTTAGTACTTCCTAGTAGGTGTAATCTGCCTGGGTGAATATCTTCACCTCATGTGATGTACATTTTTTGAAAGACTTCTTAAATCTCTGAGAACTTTTTACTTTTGTGCTTTGAAGAGGTCCTTGTCTCATTTCTAGTCCTAACGGCCATTTAAACTTTTTGTAGGATTGATACCGTACTCTTCAGGTAAGAGAGTCCTGAGTTGTGTTGGTAGGCTTCTGTCTAAATTCTGTACAGTGTAAAGTATTTTAATAAGAACTAAGAGTTTAAAATGTAAAGATAAAAAATACACACTACCACCACCATTCTGTTGGTGTGCAGCTGTTTTGTAAGATAAAAAAGTTGTAGGGCGGGAAGATGTGGTAGGTGCTTGTTTTATAAAAAAAATAATGAATTGTTTAATAGGGTATTGGTTTAGTGCAGTTTTGGGGGGGGGGTATTTTTGGGAGATCTGAAGTGGGGTTGTAGTCTTCACATTCTCTAGATTATGCAGTCTTATTTAAGTCATATGTTCTGCAGTATAAATTTTGGATCTTGAAGCTTAAGGGTCTAAGTTTTTATTTGGTTAAGACATACTTCAGTATTTGACAACTATAGTCTTGTAAATTAGCTGTCTTCAAGGTAATATATTTTTATTCATCTTTAGGTTCCTTTTTTTTTTTTTTTTTAACCAAGCCTGGTCTAATTAAAAAGGATCAAAACAACTATTCTTGTAAAACTGTGAAAAGTGGTGAATAAAGACTGCAAAATAATTTAAACAACATTAAAAACTGAAAACACACCTAACCTATGTATTTATGTTTTATCTTAGGTACGATGTATGTTAAATATTTGGGGTGTGATGCTTTTCATTAGACTTTCATGGATTGTAGGACAAGCTGGCATAGGTATGTGCGCTAATACTATAATTTTATTTTAGTCAGTCTTTAAATGTGATCCAAAAGAAGTGTTGATCCTGAGCTTACGCTTTATAGAGAGGTAGAAAATGTCCTTAATATTGCCAGTTTTAAAGATAATTTACCCTTATTCAAACTTAGCTGTGTGAAGTTACTTGGACTTTTTCATCTAGTTGTAAGTTATGTAATTTAAAATTGACATCTGTAAATCTTCAGTGAACTTTAATGATAAAATTTGCATTTCTGGTTATCAGAGTCTGTGTATGGACAAGTGTAGTACATAAACAGTTTCCTTTGAAGGCTTAACTTAGTTTTGGGCTGCAGAAAATACCTCATCTGCAAAACGCATGTGTTTTCTCGAAGCTCTAGGGTACAGCTTTTACCCTGCTGATTAAAGATAACGTTTATCCAATTTTGATTCTATCCTGGAAATTTCTCTGTACAAAAGGGGCGTGAAGAAGCCTTTTGCTTGAATGTGTGGGACCACACACAGTAAATTTGTGTTGTATTTGCAAGGCTAATTGTTTAAACCAAGTTTAGTTGAAGATTTGTACACCTTAATACAGCTGGACTTACACTCTTTTTTCCGAAAGGTCTGTCTGTCGTTGTTATCGGAATGGCCACTGTGGTGACCACTATTACAGGACTGTCTACTTCAGCAATAGCCACAAATGGGTTTGTAAGAGGAGGTAAACCTACTTTCATAAAGCCTATAAAACTTGAATCGCTCTGAAGCATACACCTTGAATATGAAACCTAATTTATTTTCCGTATTTTTAGTATTAGAGGTAAAACTGTGTGGATGAAATATAAGGAACAGTTAGTTTTCTGAGGAGCTGAGTTTTCCCTATGTTCTGTATTTGATTAAGCAGACATGTAATTAATGAAAAGCCAGTAATGGCTTACTAATAAGATTTTTTTAATATTGGCTTGCTTTCCCCCTGCGGAAGAAACATTGCCTGTTACGAATTTTTGGAATGCAAACATTTTGAGATACACATATCCAGGAATGAATAGGTTCCTGATATTCTCCTGCATCTGCACTTGTGGTTTAAGGGTATGCATGTGTGGTTATATATGTTCATGCCCTGAAATAAAATTTATTAATGAAAAAATACATCCTATAGAAGGATAAACTGCAACTATATGAGAGCATACATGGCTGTGTTCCTGTTCTATTGGGATTGTTTTTTTTTTTTTATATACAGTAGAACTTCTTCAAACTCTTGATATCTAGCTTTCTTGAGGGTAACGGTCATTCTCTTTTATGGTTTATAAATTCCTACAAAATTACTTTGTAAGCGTTTGGTACCTTTGACATGTTCAGACTGCTTCATGACATCACAGAACTGCTACTACTAGAAAATATGGTGGAATTAAAGAAGAAGTTTGCAAAATTTTTTTTATTAAGAATGAGCAGAAAAACCTCACTATCATAAATAGACCCAGCAGGAATCTTAGTATTATGTTAAGCTTAGTATCTAAATGTCCTTCCTTTTTTTTCTTTCTCTTTTCAAATTGCATTTTACATACCAGATTTTCTTGTTCATCTGAGAGCCATTTTGCTTTTAGAGTCACTCTTGCAAAATAATAATTCATTAGAAAATTTGAAGTGCTGAATGGAGAAAACTGTAAAGCAAAATCACAGCTGCTCCTGTGAAAATCTTACATTACAGTAATATCGTTCTTATGTTAGTGTTCTCATTTGCAAAGTACGTCAAAGCTGGATGCCTACATATGTTTTGCACAGCAACTGTAGTGCAGTGAAATTAAGGATATCCTGTTGCAAATTTTTAATGTGCACTCAATTACTTCAGACTGGAGCTGGAGGATTTTGTGGCTTCGAGAAAGCTTAGCCCTAAATTGGAGGAATGTGCATTTGCTACTTTTTTTTTTTTAATTTTCACTCTAAGGCTGTGGATACTCGGTATGTCCATTTGTCGTGTCAGGTTTGAGATGTTGTATTTGACAAGCTCAAAAATACAAAGAATAAGTTCTGAAAAGTCAGTGACAATGTGATTTGAGAGTCCTATTGAGGGGCAGAAAACTCTCTTAACAACAGAGCTTTAAAAAAATAGTCATGGAGGTTTGGAGGTTGAATGAGTTTATTACAGTCTACTTTGCCAGTTTCTTGAGCTATAGCTAATGAAAATGTATAATAGTAGAACTATGCAGAAATGCTTTCCATGTTTTCAAATAAAAAGCCCAGTAATACCGGTATTTGTATTTTACAGTTTGTTTTTTAACCACAGAACTGGTTGCATAGCTGAATAATATGATGTGGTGCATGAGTCAGGATTATTTCCAACTGGTGTCTTGAAAACTTGTAAGGTTCCTGAAACTTCAGCATGCTTGTCCCAGAAATACTGAGTTATGGGTTATTTTCTAATACATCAGGGAAGATGCACACATAAATAGCATCTTGTTTGTATAAACTTTAAACTGCTAATGACTGTTTGTTCTCACACTTTATCCCATAGAGGGTATTTTTGTCTCTCCCATTTTTCTTTTTCAGGTGGAGCATATTACTTAATTTCAAGAAGTTTGGGGCCAGAGTTTGGTGGCGCCATAGGTCTGATTTTTGCATTTGCCAATGCTGTTGCAGTAGCAATGTATGTTGTTGGCTTTGCAGAGACAGTTGTGGAGCTACTCAAGGTATATGGACAATGGTGGTTATATTGATTACAGTGTCTTTTATGCAAGTTTTAGCCGTCATCTACTCATAAAATCATAGAATGGTTTGGGTTGGAAGGGACATTTAAAGGCCATGTAGTACAGCTCCCCTGCCATGGGCAGAGACACCTTCCACTAGACCAGATTGCTCAGAGTTCTGAGCTTGACCCTGAATGTTTCCAGGGATGGGGCATCTACCGTCTCCCTGGGCAACCTGTTAAGTGCCTCACCAGCCTTATAATAAAAAAAAATAAAATACCTTACATGTAGTCTAGGAATCTTTTTTTTTTTTTTTTTTAGTTCAGATCTTACCACCTGTCCTATCGCTACAAGCCCTATTAAAAGTCTGTTCCCATCTGTCATGTAAGCTTCCTTTAAGTATTGAAAGGCCGCAGTAAGGCTTTCCTGGAGGCTTTCTTTTCTCCAGGCTGAACAACCCCAGCTCTCTAAGCCTTTCCTCATTGAGAGGTCTTCCAGCCCTCTGATAATTTCTGTGTCTCTCCTCTGGACCCATTCCAGCAGGCCCATGTCTTTTTCTTACTGGGGTCCCCACAGCTGAATGCAGTAGTTGAGGTGGGGTCACCCAAGAGTGTCGCATAGGGGCAGAGTCACTTCCTTCCTGGCCACACTCCTTTTAATGCATCCCAGTGTACGGTCAGCTTTCTGGGCTGCAAGTGCACGTTACCGGCTCATGTCCAGCTTTCCATCCACCATACATTTTCCATCCAGAAGTCCTCCTCAGCAGGGCTGCTCTCAATCGCTTCATCCCCCAGCCTTTATTGATACATCACAATTGTCCTGACCAGTTCAAACATACGGAATGAGGTACAAGCCTGATAGGTACTTGTACCTTGATGGATCAGTAAAATACTACTGTAATTCAGTAGCTTTCTGGTTTAAAAAAAAAATAAAAAACAAACAGAAAACAAACAAAAAAAAACCAACCAAAACCAGTCTAACAAATTATCAAAAGTGTCAAATGGAAACTTCCCATGCTATCTCCTTGACCAGTTTGTGGTAAAATCCAACCTGGCCATTGAGGAAAAGGTTGTCAGGTACAGATATGTGATGTAGAATCATAGAATCATAGAATCAACTAGACTGGAAAAGACCTTTAAGGTCATCAAGTCCAACCATTACCCCAGAACTGCCAAGACCACCATTAAACCGTATCACCAATTCTGAGATTCTTGTTATTGTTTCTTTTAAGTGATAGTCATTTATATTACATTCGTTTCCAAAGGTGTTCTACATATCAAAAACTATATCTTAACTTAAACACAACCAAGTATTTTTTTTGTTGTTGTTGAATGTTTTGATCAAATGTAATACTGAGAAGAGCTATACTTTTTGTAGATGGCAAGCAGTTTGGAATACATTAGAAGAATTAATAGTGAACAACAAGTGAAATATGTGTGCAGTTGCCTTGCTGATTAATCTGATTCTCTGGCAGCTGAAGACAGGCCATGCTGCTTGGGGATGGGCTATGTATAGGCATGATCATTTTCACTTAGAAGATTCAATGATTTAAAACAAGACAAAACCCAAATTACTTGTGTCTGTACAGGGAATTTAAAATTAGTATATTTGAGGTATAGAGTTTAAGTCTGTAAATTACAGTCAATAAAATGCTGTTCTGCAGAAGGGAAGGTAAGTACTTGATGTAAGTGTATGACTGTTTTTTTTGTCTTTGTGTGTTTTTTTTTTTGTTAGGAAAATGGAGCACTGATGATTGATGAAATGAATGATATCAGAATCATAGGGGCTATAACAGTGGTTATATTGCTGGGTATATCTGTTGCTGGTATGGAGTGGGAATCAAAAGTAAGGAACTTAACTTTTCTTCTCTGCTTCATAATTTTAATTCCATTTTCTATGTCAACTGTTTCATTTTTAATATATTTACTGCACTCAATATTGCATGCATGATATGTTAGAAGTCAGCAGGCAGTTTTTATATAATAGTTCTCTGGTCTGGACAGAATTTGGACCTTAGACTGCCTTACTCCATTGGAAGTTTGAACATCTGTGAGAACTTAAAAACTGCATAACCTATTCATAATGACACTGTCAAGTAGGTTAATGGTATTACTTTTTCTTGTTAGCGCATTGTTGCCCAGATGAGGGTAAGAGCAGTAGTATGGGAATTTTCCCTCAGTGGGTACTTCAAATGAGCTCTACAGATGGAAAATACAGGGCTGGAGCTGAAGCCCATCTGAATTTACGTAGCTTCTGTTAACTCAAACCCAGTATTTTTATTTTCCTGTTCACTTTCTTTTGGTTTGTTTTCACTTGGAAACAGAGAGACAGTGGTGATGTGGTTCCTAGGCCCAGCATTGAGGACAGTTGTGAACATTGGTGGTGATGAATGTGTAGGAGGGTGAACCTCATCCTGTGGTTGCACAGTCTTAGGTCAGCTCAGATTATGAAGACAAATACATATAGATCCTAGGATATCTTAACATAGGGGTTGCCTTATTAGTTTTCTGCTGTGCGTCATTAGGCAGTGTATCACTAGGCAGTGTAGCTTGCTATTTTTTCCTGCACCTGGTGGCCTTTTATGGAGCATTTGCTTATCATGTGCTCAAAAACAATCGAGAAGAGCCTCACTTGGTTTCCTTCCCATTTGATACTTAGTTCACAATAGTTCCTATTTTTTCCAGTGACAGCCAGCTGAAGGAGCTTTTTCATTTAAATGTTGTAACTTAAAAAAAACCCACAAAAACCAACAAAAAAAGACGGAAGTAAAGATTAAATCTGCCACAAGGAGAAAAGAACCTACAGAAGCCCGAGTTTGGCATGTACTTGAAAATCAAAACAGCACACTTATGTAAAAATTTTTCATATAGTCCTTTGCTGTCTGTACCCTCAGTTTATAATGGTATTTTTATGTACCTGGCAAGACTGTCCTCCTTGATCTTGCCCATTCAGTTTTTCTTTTGCATTACTTAGTTGTTATTAACCCTCTAGCTACTATCACTTGAAGTCACGAGAGATGTCTTGCTTTCGCTCTGTAGCATGCACAATTCTATAGCAATAGCTTGCATAGAATACCCTGTTTAATGTTCTTGTATCAAACATGAACTGTGGTACTGTTGCAGTGTTATCCTCATTAGGAAATAGGTAGCTTTCAAAAATCCTATGCTCAATGCAAAAAAACAAGGTTTGTTGGCTTGTTTTCTGCGTCATGGAGGAAGGCAGGTAGGAGGGATGCTAAGCAACTGAACCTGTCAAACAAGCACTTCATGTGTGTTAACATGGAGCTTAGCATAGCAAAGCAGTACTGCTTCCTTTTTGATTAAAGAATCTATGATATTCCACTATGCCTTCCCTATGACTTAGAGTATACTTCCCAAAAATGGGACAAGGGGAATCTATAATAATGCCTTCAAAGTAGATATAAAAGATAAGAGAGACAGGGATTCCAGGGAACCCTGCTTAAAAAGTAGCTTTTCAGAGTTTGTGATCTGCCACTTAGCTCCTTGTGTTGAAGTCTTAGAAGCCCATTCTTTCTCTGAGACCTTTGAATGTAAAGAAGATATTCAGAAAATGCTCTTAGCTTCAGGGAGAAGATCAGGTTTGTTACTGGGTGAATCCACTTGCTAAAATTACTTTGTGGTAACTTCATGATGAATTCTCTGGGCTTATTGAAGACTAAGCACTCAGCTGCATCCTTTATACCTCTCGCCTGTTCTTGGCAAAGGAGAGTGCTAAATATGATGCATTAAGTGGTTTCTTCTGGTGGTCTTCTAACTCTGCTCTTGGATGTCATGTTCTGTTTATCACTGTACTATAATGTTTCCTTAAGAGTTTGTGTGAACTGAAAACTTTGTTTTATATTATCAGCAATGCCACTGTGCTGTTGCATATTAAGTTCTCATCCTAGACCTGAAAAAACAGTCAAACTACAAATAGCTTCCCCTGAGCCACTGGCATATATGCCTTTATAAGGAAGCAAATACACAAAAGATAACATGAATGGTTAGAATAGTTAAAATGGTAGCTCGTTTAAATGTAAAACCTGAACAACCTCTTCAGTGCCTAGATTTGTCTTTACTCATGCTTTTGAGGCATTGGATTTTTTAAAGTACTTCTTGTTCAAAGTATAGGGTTTATAATGGTTTTATTGAACAGTGGCTAAAAATCTAGGTTGTACTGAAATATTTTTAAGAAAACTAGAAATTAACAAGCAATTGTGGTAATCTGCAGTTTAATTTCATAAATAAGGATTGAGAACATGAAAATAACTAGTCCATTGCATAAAACAGTAAACAAAAGTTGTTTGATACCTGATTTAATAAAATTCTCAATAAAATAAATATTGGATACTGAGGTATAAGACTAAGTACTGTGATCGTAATTAATAAGGCAATATTTGTAGGTTTTTTGTGCATTTATCTCTTGTCAATGTCTTCAGCCTACTCAAATCCATTTCTTCTGGAAGGCTGACAGAGAAAATAGTTTTTAAGTAATTTTTCTTTAGAAGTATAACTTGAGGGTTAGATTATTAAATTTACAAATTATCCTATTTCCTTATTAAAAATCCCAGTACACGTTCTCTCCAGTTTGCCTTATTTATTTGTGGGAAAACATACTGTGAGAAGACTAAACTGAATTCGGAATCAAATATTTAAATTTTGGAATACAACACTGAAGCTTGGAACTGTGAAAAAGATTAAGTTCTTCTGTCTGACTGCAATCATTATGTTTCAGGCGCAGATAGTCTTACTGGTGATCCTCATACTTGCTATTGGAGACTTTGTCATTGGAACGTTTATTCCTTTGGATAGCAAGAAGCCTAAAGGTTTCTTTGGTTATAAAGGTATGTTGGAAGAGTTAGTGTTGTAAACAGTATCTTTGCAAAGAGCAGATATCCTGTCATAATTAAATTAAACCTATAAAATAGCTTATAGTCCCATTTAAGTATAGAGGTACTTTTTTTCTTTTTTAACCTGATTCTTCCAAACTTCTGCAGTTTTGGTCCTTAAAGCTATGGGGCCAAAAATTGGTCCTGTCTACTTAACATTGATTCTATTAAATCTAAAAAAGCTGGCTGGTACTATATTTTTTCTGGTTTTAAAAGCTGTTTAAGTATTGTGTTGACTGAGTTGAAGTGATGAGCTAGGACCTAAATGTTATATGCTTAGTTTTAAGAAGGTCATACAGCTGTGACTTTCAGCTTTTTCATGGAGATAATAATGGATGGAATGGGCTAATACCGTAGCTTCTCTACAAATATTGATATACTTAAATCTCTTTCTACAGCTGAAATATTTATGGAAAATTTTGGTCCAGACTTCCGACATGAGGAAACTTTCTTTTCTGTTTTTGCTATTTTCTTCCCTGCTGCAACTGGCATACTTGCTGGTGCAAATATCTCAGGTGATCTTGCGGTGAGTAGTGAAAGAGAAAATACTGTTCACAAACATTGAGTATGCATTTATCTCTGTCATCACTGTCCACTGACATTTTTCTTTCAGGATCCTCAGTCAGCCATACCTAAAGGAACGCTGTTGGCCATCTTAATTACTACATTGGTTTACGTAGGAATTGCAGTATCTGTAGGTAAATAGAGAATGTTTTTAACTTCTACATTCTTTCTGAGGGTGTGTTTTGATGCGGTTTATATAATTCACTATGTAAAATCATTATGTAATAGACTTTCATGCATGGGAAAGTAATAGCCAGAGGTTTCTGATTTTTATTGTTGGCGGTTCAATATTCAGCTGATTTTATAATTTCCTAAGGTGAGTGATTTTTTTTTTTTTTGGTGGGCTTTTTTTGTTTTTTTCCCTAAGACTAGTGACCGCTTGAAGCAGACTAAAGCACAAAAGACTTCTGATGGATCTTTCCTCATTTGTTACAGTTACTTATGTTAAAAGATTTACAGTTTAGCAGTGGGATAATCCCTGAATTAGAAAAGTGAGTTTTCAGAAAATACTTGCTGAACAAACACCTGTATTGGTTTGAAGATGATGATGGCCAGGTAGTCAAAGTGAATTGTGGGATGATCAAAGAGCTCTTTGGTAAGGATGCAGGAGCAGTAATTCGCCAGTAAAAGGAGAGGAGAGAGTAGTGACTTTATCTGGCCAGCTGACTTTTGGAAGTGTTGTCATGTTGAGAAATGTTACAATTTCCTGAAGTTTTATTTTCATGTGGAAAGAGGAGCACAATCATAGACTGACCTGGATCTTGTATAAACCTCTCTTCCTGGTCTTCCCCACCCCACAGAGGTTTGAAATTCTTTGTAGGATTTGCCTTGGGTTTTGATGCTCCTATATCAGTGTTGCTCCAAAGCATCAGTGGTCAACCAAGTTTTTTTTCCCACTGATAGGATTACTAGAAGAGAATTATTCTAAGAACTTCTTATTGCTGAGCAAAAAGTAAGTTGAAGGGGGACCTTAATGCTCTCTACAACTACCTGAAAGGAGGTTGTAGTGAGCTGACCGTTGGCCTCTTCACACAAGTAACAAGCAATAGGACAAGAGGAAATGGCCTTAAGTTGTGCCAGGGTGGTTTAGATTAGGTATTAGGAAAAATTTCTTCCTCAAAAAGGTTGTCAAGCATTGGAACAGGGTGCCCAGGGAAGTGGTGGAGTCACTGTCCCTAGAGGTATATAAAAGATATGTAGGTGTGTCCACCATCTAAACAACTTGGTCTAGCGGTGGACTTGCTAGTGTTGGGTTTGCCCTTGGCCTTGATGATCTTAAAAGTCTTCTCCAACCTAAGTGATTCCGTAAGATAAGATTGTAATAATATCTCACATATTTCTTCCCTGTGGTTTGGAAATGTTACTAGTATAATACAGTTTCTGGCAGCAGTAATCAGTTTTCACCTTGCCTTATCTTAGCTGTGCTGCCTTTTGAATGAAATTCTCATAAGAGTACCATTGAACTTACTGCTAATGATACTTCCTTTCCAAAGATACCAATCTTGCTAGTCTGCCTCTGTTGGCTAACATTGTACTGTAGCTCTGCCAGATTGTTGCTCTGTAGTGATTGTGCTCTATGCAGCATAATGACCTACACTTATTTCCTAAATAGATTGACCACATAGACCTTTGCTACCAAATTCGAATACTTTAGAACTTTAACCCACATGAGAGCGAAGTGCTTATTAAAATTCATTTGATCATGAAATAACCATCTTTCAAACATGAAAAACCTAATTTTTTGTACTGCAAAAGGAGCATCTTGCAAAACCAACTGAACATGAAATTGTTTGATGCGTCAGACGTGTTCTGCCTTAGTTGCCTTCTATAACTTACACTTGGAATTCTTGTAGTTAGAAAAGCCCAGTGCTATTGTAGAAGATTGATGTGAGTGAAATTTAGGGTGTTTTTGAGCTGTTGGATCAGGGATCAGACAAATACAAATACTTCTGTTCCTTTCCCCACACAAACTATTCCCCCACTCTAAATTTCCAAAGTAGTGATAAGCGCGTCATTATAACTTAGAAAAGGCTAGTAAATGTCAGTGAGTAGTCATGTCTGAAGGGGAGGATGATGTTCTGAATTTAGCTCAGTATCTGCATGCTCTGTACTAAGTAAGAGGGTTAAACTGAGTAACTGAGTAGAGAAGGCTTAGAAGGGGAAAACTGCTAGAGCTGCTGCTAGAGCTAGACAGCCTATTTCAAACAACAGCTGTGAGGAAAAAGTATGCAGTTCCGTATTTTAGCAAGGGACTAACGCAGAGACGCAGGTGGCAGGATGAAGACTGCACAACCAACTTCTGTATCAAAATTCTTGAAAGATGTATCTCAAAGAAAAACATTCACTGCTTTAAAACCAAGGGAAGCTCTTATTAAAATACCCCGAGTCGTAACTCCTGAATAGGGTTATGACATGCTCTCTGTACACAGGAAAGTAAAATTAATTAGAGGCTAACTGTATCTGTGGCACCTGAGAAGTTAAACGCTCTCAACTGCAGTCTGAAGGACTTGGTGTTGCATCTCTGGAATCCTTGCTGGTTGTATGGAGTTAGGAGGTCTGCTCACCTGAGGCTTATAACATGGCAAAACTGCTTTGGCAGGAACATGTTTATAAATGCCTTTCCTGTTTTTACAGGAAAGAAGGCATAAAGGTTCTTAACAAAAATGTTGTCAGAATCTTATGAATAAATAAAATGTTTTAGTTAACCCTCAGTCATAAAAGTCTGGGACTTTTACTTACATCTAGATATCTTCTGCTGAGAGTGGAGCCTGCCCAGCTGGCTTCTCTTCTGTGTTCTCTCATAGTAAGGCTCACATTAAGTTTGTTCATAGTATGAAGTTTGTTCATAGTATGATTATCCCTGTCTATTGTACTTTGATTCTGTGTGTGAAAGACTTGCCAGCAAGTTGGCTCTGAACTCTGGAGAAGGGAATGAGGAATAGGAGGGCTGTGATAGTGCATTGTAGCTATTTAATGAGTTGCTCAACTTAATGGGCCTGCCACTCCAATCTACCAACAAAATGTTATCTACAAATAATTCTCCTAGTAAGTATATTGTCACATACGTTATATATTGCTTGAATGCTGGGGCAAATGCTTGTGTAGTAAAAAGAAGAAACTTTCTCATACAGAGCTTTTACTCTCATTTAAAACAGAACAACAACCAAAAAAAGACCCAGCCTGTCTGTGTACCCACAAGAAAAGCATGACAGATGATCAATATAGGAAACTCTTACTGAAATTGAACCAATTTGGCCTAATAAGTAACTGAAAAATAAATCTTAAGAAGTGGGAGGATTAAGTAATGTCCACCTACCAGCTATCACTGTGGACTGTTGTTAACACCTCAGAAGCAATCTAAACATGCTATGTAGGTATTTAGAAGTTAATTTTCCTAATGAAAGACAAAATACATAGATCATAGGGATTGTTAGAGGAGAAACTTAAGCTTGCAGCACATCTGTATCCTTCTTTTCATTTTGCAAGTAATCTAGGTCCTCAGTAGTGACATGGTCCTGTTCCCAGGATCTCCTTGTTATTCAAGTTCCTGAAGGACCAAATGAAGGCAATTCTATTGGATACTGCTCTGTAAACTTCTCTCTTCCTCACTCCTTATTTAATTCATTTTCCTGGAAACATTTGTTGGTATCCAAACAATCTTGACTACTTCAACTATTAAACCATAGAATGTTAATAATATTTAGCCTGCTCTAGTTTGTTGTTCTTTAAGACAAAAAAACCTTGAAGCAGAAGACTTGTGGGCTTTGTGGTACATTTTGGGGTTTTTTATTTCAGTAAATAAGAGGTGAAATGCTATGCCTTCAGCATTTTCTTGACTAGTCAAATTATAAATGATCATAGATAAATTGAAGACATAAATAGTCAAATTATAAATAATCATAGATGAATTGAAGACATAAATTCAAGTGATAAAATGAATTACAAAAAATGTGGTAGCAATGGGATTGTCCAGCTTTGTTTTTCACCAAGAAACCAAAATAAAATACCACACAAGAGGTGGCTTGTTTTAGTGTTGGGAAATGCAAGAGGCTTTCATGACAAGCTGCTTAATTTTTTTGAATGTCAGAGCGTAACAGTGGGAAAGAAGTAACAGCAAGACTGTGCATACTTGTCTACATACAGTTGTACATACATTACTAAAATGTGTTCCTCTAGGAAAACTGACATAAAGAGAAACTATAAAATCAAGTGATGTGGAATAATACTAACTTTAATTTAAGAGCTGTGTGGAAACTCATTATTCAGAAATAATATGTTGAACTAAAATTGTGCAGTTAGCTTTTGCATGTCTATTGACATTATTTTCCTCTGTGCTAAAACTTCCCTTTCTTACTAGATTTAGATTTATTCAAGGCAAGAGAGCAATTAGTTTGCTTGTTTATATTTGTTCCTCACAATGAAGATGCGCTTAGTACTGAAATGTATTAAAAATGTAAACGCTGTATTTTAACATTGCTCTGTGAGACTATGTATACATAAAAAGGGAATTGAGCATGACAGGTGCATAAGTTCACGTTCAGCCTATTTGTGCTTTTTTTTATTTTGTTGCTGTGTTCACTCTAGGTTCCTGTGTTGTGCGGGATGCCACAGGGAATGTTAATGACACCATTGTCACGGAGCTGATGAATTGCACTGCTGCAGCTTGCAAATTAAACTATGATTTCTCATCCTGTCAGCCAGGATGTCAGTATGGGCTGATGAACAATTTCCAGGTATAAAACTTTCTGTTTATTAGCTTTTTTGTTTGTTCTTTTTTTGAATTGCATACCACAGAAAACCAGGCTAAAAATAATACGATCTATATGGAATACTTAAGCAGTATGCTTTAGCTAGTATGCAGAAGAACGATGTCTGTAAAGAATTTTTTGGTGTTATACGTAGGTGATAGAAGTATTTAATGTGAATAAGCTGCTTAGTTTGGGTGGTGGGACTGTAGCTTTCTCTCTAGGTATCTGAATGCTATCATTCAGTGGCATGGGTAGATGTACTTATTGTTCAGTAGTCATGCATAGTATTCATAGGCAGCCTCTCTCAGTAACTTGTTCCTTAATTTTAAGTTTCTTAGAAAATATGCTGACTTTTTAAAGAATATTTTACTTATCTGTCACAGTATCCTCTTTAATGGTGAAACTGTTGTCAGTTCTCATAAAACCAGATGTTACTGAATTAAAAAAATCCTCTAGAAGCCATGGGGTAATTCACCGTCTGCAACTTACACTTCACAGGTAATTAGGTGTCCATGTACTACTGGTCAGGGTTTGAAAGAAACTACTAAGGAGAGCATACTTGTTGCTGATTGATTTAAACTTCCTTTACCATAAATTTTTCCAGCATGTGCACAAAAAGTTGGCTAGAGACTAAGATGAAATCCACAAATGAGAGAGGTGTCTGGCTCATGGGTTTTGGTTAGAATTATGTGGTACATCTGCTCCTTACATGTGGTACATGTACTCCTGTCCTGCAAAGCTGGGTGGAAAACCTGTTTGGTCCATGCTGAAATAATGCTGCAGTGCAGACCATTCTGTAGAGTAAAATTAGAGTACACTTTGCTTTTTCTGATTTAGAAACATTTCAGAATGGTTGTGGGAATAATTCTGCACAATCAGATGACTCGCCTCATTTGTTTAAGCTCAGAAGCCCCCAGTATGTTGTCAGATGTACAGCTGAGAGCAGCGTGGAACTGATTTTCTTTGCATCTTTAAGCAATAAATACCATAAATGTTGCTTGTACTTCCAGTAAGTTAGACATTAATGTTCTAGTTTCTTAACATTTGATCTAAAGAATACTTCTGTCTCCCAGATTAGTCTTACTTCTCTCTGTGGACAAACTAATGGGTTCTGAATTGGAAAAGTCATTTTCAAGGCCAGGCGCTGCACAGATAATGCACTGCTCCTTGTGGCCCCTTTTCTAGGGGAGATTTGAAAACTTCATTACGGAGACTACACAGGATCTCTGGATTCTAGGGGAGGTTTGAAAACTTCATTATGGAGAGTACACAGGATCTCTGGACAACCTGCTGCGGCACTTAGCCACCTTATGTGTGGAATTTTGTTTTTCTAGTTCCCAGCTGGACTTTTCCTTGCTGTTTGTTTTCTTTCTTATCCTCACTGCTTTTGCTGTGTATCTCTGACCAGAGTCTGAGATTCTGTTTTCTGAGATGTTAGAAGGAAATTGTTTGCATGAGAGGCTACCTGTACATAAACTGTTGTCCATTTTCTGACTGAACTGCCCTCAGCTTAGTAGCTCTGAAAGAGAGCTTTAAGAAGATGCTTTTTGCTTTTGGGTTTTGTTTTTTTTACATGCAGGTCACAGGGAGAATGCTCCAAACTTTTGTACCTCTCCAGCTCATCATACAAATGTAAATTCTTTCTGTAGGTAAAGTAACTGGCAACAAATAGTTCACTAACATAAATTAATCCATAAAGTGAGTGAAGATGGTTATATTTATTTATCTTACAGTTTGTAAGCATGTAGGCTCTGAGGTTGAAAGCATCAGCTTACTTCAGCCTGATGACTTTATCAGTGCAGTACACTTCCTGCTGTATTCAGTTCTTTTGGCAAAGAATTAATTTGAAATTAGTGCTTAGGTAGCTTGTGTTTTGAATGAGGTTGGGCAGCAAGGGGATAACTTGTAGAATGATTTACCTCTGAAAAGCTTAGATGATGCTAAGAAATGTAAATTGAGAACAGTTGATGAAACAGGCTTAGTCAGACTGTCATAGAAAGATCATCTTTAGTTTCTGTTGTAGTCATTGCAAATGAATGAAGTCCTCACAGGCTTCAGACATTTCTCTGCTCAGTGTCAGTGATATTTCTGTGCCCAGGCTGTCATCTGTTTTCAGCTCTGTAGTCTCAGCTTTGGAACTGCCCCAGATTAAGGTATGGCTTTGGGCAATCTAAATGCAGGATCTAGTCAACTTTGGATGAAAGTTGAAAGTACATGAAATTCCAGTTCAGAAGCAATGTAAAAGTTCTCCTAAAATATTCTTTCTGCAAAGGAAGGCAGTTGTGAAACATTTGAAAAAGTTAGGGGGAGGGTGAGTTTAGCAATGCTTTGTCCATACCCATTATAAAAATAAAACTTTAAAGAAGCTGCTGCTTGTTTTCATGTGGCATTTTTTTTCTGCTCCACAATGGCTGTACCAAATAACAGAAACTGTAGTCAAGATACTTCATTATCCCAAATCTTAGAAATTTAGGGAACTGTTTGAAGAGCAGATGGCAGACAAACATAACGAGTCCCTTATCAGTAGTAGCTGTGACTATCCCATAGCTATCTGTATCTCGCTCATAGCAGTATCTGTCTTGACATGCGAGTGGTAACGGCAATTTTTACAAGATACCTGTCCTTCCATTTCTCTGTTCTTTCAAGGTGAAAATCTCAGTGCTATAGCTAACAGCATATGTGGGCTCCTAGTTTTTTATGGTTAAGAGGTTTAGATTATGGTGTGTATGCTGGGGGAGAGGGGAGGGTTTCTGCTGGAATTGGTTTCCCTTTTATTAGCTTAAATGAAGCTTCCTAATGTCTTCTTACATTCTAGCTTTTAAAATGGGCAAACATTATCTGCTTACATCTTACTTAGATTTCTCTCAAATAATGGATGTAATACTTAAAAGTAGTGTAAAGAAATGGAAGTAATGAAGAAAATGTATAAAGAGAGTAAAATCCGAGTAGGTTGTAAGAATGAGAGTGCAAGAAATTGATGCCAATGTATTAAAGTGAAAGCATCAAAATAACTGTGTTTTAAATTGGATGGGAAGAAAAGCAATGGTGACTTGCACACAGATTCTGTCCATACAAAGTCCTTCCAGGGAAGATAGATTGAGCCGTCCTTGCAGGGAGGAAAATTTTCATGCTGCTTCTACAAAGATTATTTTGTGCTGGTTTATTATGTTGCTAGAGAAAAAGTTTCTTTCTAAAATATTTCAGCACAGCCTTTACACCCTGAACTTCTCTTTTAGAAATACAGTGTAGGGTTATTACAAACTGGCATTTACAGCTAACTTTTTCTGTTGATCATACAACTAACTTTTTCTGCTGATCATTAAAGTAACTTAAACCTTAAATTTACCTTAAGTAAACTTAAACTCCCCCTTCAGGGGAGATAATGTATGTGTCATTAGTTTTATTCATCTGTGAAAAAATGCCTCTTCTAACTTTTTTTTTGTTATTGGTTGTAGATATGCTTCAGGAAATTCTCTCCATTCATTATGGTTCTATGACAGCTACTTCAGTCTCATCTTATGCACCTGCAATTATTTAATCCCTCTTTTTAGGCAACACATGCCTTAAACCTGATGTAATTTAGAGGCTCAGTTGACTGAGAAACCCAGCAGTCTGTCAGTCTGTTTTGAAGAAAAGCACTGAATTTTGTTGTTAGCTTAGCCCTAGGAGTATGAATAAAACTTCATCAGTCACCTGTATATTGTTTCTGAGAGCATGTTCTACCTAGATAAGATTGCTGTAGACGGATAGATTTTACATCTTCAGGTGACTGTAACTTAACAGTAGCATACAGGGTCTGTGTGATCATTCTTGCCTTTGTTCAGTCCTTTTCCTGATACTGTAGGTGAGGTTGAGAGGATGAAGGAGGCAAGTAGTCAGTGCAAATGATGCAGAACCTCATTCTGATACATTATGCTTCAAAGGCACCATGCTGGGTTTGATCCATTAATGAAAACCATAAGCTTTTTCAAGATAGATTCTTTAATACTGTCTATCTTCAAGCAGCTTAGGCTTTTCTTTCATAAAGAAAATAACTATTAAACCATGATAGTATTTTAAACGCATAGTTCTCTATCTTCACTTGAAATAGGCAAAGCTGGATGCAGGGTATGGAAGTAATCAGTAGAATGGTAGAAGATGGTCTTCAGGCTATATGGAAATTAGAAGCTGCTTTTGTTCTAATTTGGGACATTTTTTAGTCTTAACATTGCTCTTTTACATTTTAGCTTACTGAGCATCCCTACCAAGCATTGTATATTGTATTTCACTTACTGGCATTACAAAGATGTCCTAGGGTGTGATCTTGGGGAGACAGGAAACAAGTTTGTCCTGTCTTTTTTATTTTGAATGAGAAGCAAGTCTAACTTAAGAGTTACGGAGATGCTAAGAAAGACAATCACCCTTCCCAAAATTCAGTTGATTTGTCACTTGGGCTTTCTGAGACCATGCTATCTAGTGGTAGGCTAGTCAGAATATGTAATAAAATTAAATATGTTTTTCTTCCATGACTTATTTTTAATCCTTTTATGAGCCCATGGGAGACTTACGCCATTGATTATTCTGACCCAAGAATTACACAGTTGCATTGTACTTTGTGTAAAAAGCCACCTTCTCTTGTTCTGAAATTAGGATCCATTTATATACGTTGATTTGTCTGTAGGTCATTTGTTAATATGAATGCATGATAATCAAATAGCATTTAAGTGAAGAGTGCATAGTATTTTATTCTGTTTGTGTAGTTAATGTTGTTGTCCATACATACATTATACTTTTTTAATATTATTAAAAAAATAATTATATTGCTTTCAGGTAATGAGCATGGTGTCAGGATTTGCACCACTGATTTCTGCAGGTATTTTTTCAGCCACCCTGTCTTCTGCATTAGCATCTCTTGTGAGTGCACCCAAGATCTTCCAGGTAAGGATGGAAGCAAAACCATCATCCTTTAAAGAATAACTGCGGTCAACTTTTGAATCAAAATTTTTGGAAGGGGACTCTGACAAACTGCTGTCGTGGCTCATACCAGTTGACAGCAGGACATTGATTTGATATTTACCTCTTGCTTAGAATAGGAAAATAATGTTTAACTGTTAATAAATGTTAGCTAGACCAGAATTTCTTCCAGCTATGATGTGTTTATGATTAATTTGGAGATTAGTTGGGGTGTAACTAACAGCAGTCTACAAACATCTTTATGATGTTTTTTATTGTAAGTGACAGTGGAGGACATACAAAGAGAACAGACTAATTCATTTCTCAGAGTAATCACAGAAGGACACAGCTTGAAATAGAACCTGTAGCTGTGGAACCTCAGTCCTTAGGGATTGCATTATGAAAATAATTGTGTACCAGTTCTCATGTAAATAATTAACATTGATTACCTTGTCTCCCTGAATGTGTTTTGCTTTTACTTCTTTTTAACCATTTGATCTTATTCTTTTGTCTTAAAAATTCTCTCTAATTGGGTACAGCTGTAGTGTCCTGTAATGATCTTATTTCCCAGCAGTTCAGTAGGGAATCAAACATAGAAGAGATTTTGTTGAAGAATAGAAGCACAAGTGTTGATGCAGAGAACTAGTGTATGCATTGGGCAAGCTTTTCACTTTTTGAGAAAACATTGTCTCTAAAGAAGGATTCTTTGTGACTGTAAGACACCAGTTAAGTAAAATAGGCAGTTACTTACAGAAGAAAAAAATTTGTTGTTCTAGACAGAAATTACTGAAGGATAGAATACTGGAAACAGAAGGTGTCAAGATGCAAGACAGTTGAGAATAGAATTAGTACATGGTTGTAAAAAACCTTTCAGGAAGATAATATGCAGTGGGAGATAGCATTAGTAAGTATATAGTTTGAACAAAATGCATCCTGACTCTTGGAATTTCATTTTTTCTTAGGCTTTGTGCAAGGACAACATTTATCCAGGATTTCAGATGTTTGCTAAAGGCTATGGGAAGAACAACGAGCCACTGAGAGGATATCTTCTAACATTTTTAATTGCTCTTGGATTCATACTAATTGGTTAGTTTGAAATTATTATAAATCTCAATATCTTTTTGTCCTTTATGAGGTATTCAGTTTCATATCATGACTTGCAAACAGTGTCCTGAGGTCTCATGCACAGCTTGATTCTAAGCCAGCATTCAAAAATCTTTTTATTTTGAGAGTTACTTTTCTCCTCTCTTCTAGCTATAACTCTGTCTAGAACTGCAGTAGATATGAATTCAACTGTAGCAATCTGTACTTCTCTTGATAATAGCAGGTATCTCTCTCTGGATACTGTCAATAAAAATACATCTTTTGCTTGAGGTAGAGAGATGTTACATCTTGTAAATACGGTAGCTTACTTCATATTTTTAATAATTACAAACAGCTCAGTAAACAGCAAACTTGCATGAACAATACTTTTTAAACTGTTTTTTTCTATTAAGTTACAAATAATAGAGATAAGTGCTGATGCTGCTATGCTAAAGGTAAAGATAGTCTAGGTAAAATTACATGTGCTCTATCTAGATGGCAAACTAATTGTGCTGTGTCCATCCAAGAGTCCTGTACCAGTGCTTTTAAATTTTTTTTCCTCAGTTTGCTCTTTCATCCTTCCCCCTACGTCTCCTTAAGGCACAGGTATACACATGATGTCCCTATGCAGCGTGCTGATTAGAAACTTGCTTACAACAAGTAGAAACTTGCACACTAACATGGCACATTCTGCATTTTGGTCGTTTTTTTGATGGTGAGAGTACACACGTTTTCTACCATGCTCCTCAAGGAAAGGAGAGCATCAGGTTCTTCCAGCCCTCACACTAAAGAGGGTGTACTCATCAGTGTTACAATGGTGTAGTCGACTGTAATATAGTGGTATATTAGTACCACTGATGAAACTTTTCATTTAGAATGCAGGTAGAATAACATGTTTGTTCCACTGCTCACACTAACTTTGTTTGCTGCTACCATTCACCAGAGTTGATAGTCTCTTAAACTTATTAGTGTCTCATTCTTTGCTGTTTGAAAATTGAGCTAGAGATGTACTATATATGTATTTATGCTCTGTCTACTGTTTCTGACATTCTTCAGAACCCAGTATATTAATGCACTGTTTGATAAAGCTATAGTGGGGAAAGAAATTCTTTCAATTAATTATTTTGAGGAAGTATGTAGTGCTTCGTAAGTGGCAGTCCTGGAACACTTAATAGTGTGGAAAAATGTTTATTTTTGAAATGGAAAGTTATGCTTTGTATTAGAAGATAACATAGCTAAGAAGAGACCATTAAATAATAGCTCTATCTGAAAAGAAGAATGAACTGCTGCTTCTTAGAGTACATCAGAAAACAGGTTTGTGTAGCAGATTTTTTTTTTACTCTGGAATCTACATGATATCTTTTATAACAGCCTGCTTTGTGTTTGCTTTTACAGCTGAACTGAATGTGATTGCTCCAATTATTTCTAACTTCTTCTTGGCGTCATATGCCTTGATTAACTTCTCTGTATTCCATGCTTCTCTTGCAAAATCTCCAGGTAGGAACTACATTTTGGGGGGTGAGGGTTTAGCCTGAAATTTCCTTAAGCATAAATACAATATAAAAGGTATTGCTATAAATGAGTGTTTAATTTAGTTACTAAGTATCTATTTGATTCTCATGATGCATCTGTATTATAAGGTTAATACTGTGTATACCTGGGTCTTCTGGAATTTTGAAGACTGAGTGATCCAGTACAGTTTGGGAGCTACTAATTTTGTTACCTTTGCTCAGGGAACACAAGATAATTCAGAAACTCTTGAAAGGTTTTTTTGTTAATTCTGTATATGGTGTTAAAGAATTATCCAGGACATCTTTGGATGTCTTGTTAATGTTTCTTCTTCCAGTCCATGAGAAACTGGAATTGCAGGTGGTATTGCCACATTTTTATACTCTTTGGTGTGGGAGGCTAGTTAACAAACAGGAGTAAACCAAAACCCAGTACCATCTGTAGAATAGATGTGTATCATGCCCAGCCCACTATGCATTTGTACTGAAATAATGCCCTTAAAATCTTCTTAAGTTACTGAACAGGTAGATAAAATTATTTTCCAAGAACATGTGCATAGTCTGTGTACACGACAGTTCTACGTGTAATATACTTGCTAAATCTTGGGTGTGTTAGTGGGGGTATGCATGTGTGTTCACCTGATTTTGGATAAACTTGTGACAAATAAGGGTATAAAACAGTGACAGTCCAGTATTTTGACATATTCAAGTTGTACTTAGATATATCTGTCCTTTGGCCTTTCATGTGTGAAAATTTCTGGACATGTGAAAATAGTAAAAATACACCACTAGAAACAGTAGTCTGTGAGAGAGAAAGTCCATAAGCTAATAATTCATGTTATACTACCCTTGACAGCAGAAATCAATTGTCAGGCAAGCTATTGCCAAAGGTTCCTGTAGCTGTATTTGATAAATACATTTACATAAACATCTTCAAAATTTCCATTTGAGATAAACTTTTAGAGGGAAAAATTAGGAACGTTGACATATCCATGTAAGAAAGATATGAATTCATTCTATAAGTGTTGGAAAATCGAAAGCATAAATGTGGCAAAGTATGTATTTTGTACATCACTGTCAGAATGTGATACAGAACACTTGGGAAGGAAAAGAGGAATCACACCTTCCTTCTCTTTGAGTGATGATTAAATTAATTTCCTCCTTCTTTTCTCTTCTATCCCTCAATTTATATTTTGCCTAGGTTGGCGCCCTGCGTTCAAATACTACAATATGTGGATTTCGCTTCTTGGAGCTATTCTGTGCTGCATTGTGATGTTTGTCATTAATTGGTGGGCAGCACTTCTAACATACGTCATAGTCCTTGGACTCTACATTTACGTCACATACAAGAAACCAGGTGTGTATATGGGTTTCTTTTGGTTGTGATGGGGGAAAGAGGGATGTAGAAGAAAGGAGGGGGGAAAAAAAAAGGTCTTTAGTGGGGCAGAGAAGAGGGAGAACTGGAAAACTTCTGTTTGGCTGAGTAGTTCAAACTTCTGTTTCAGGCTTTTTAGTTGTAATGAAACATAATTATGCCCGTATAGTCACTATTATTCTCCCTGCTTCAAGTTATCAAGGTGCATAAACTCAGACATAAACATTTGAATGAAAATTGGAGGAAAAGGTACACATGGAAAGAACTTGGGTTGCAGCAACAAAGGCTCTAGGAAAGCATGTTATGTTTTGTAAGGAAATGAAAGAGAATGCTTTTATCAATCCAGATTGAAAAGGGATTTGAGAGGTGGTGGGGTTTGTTTTTTATTTTCAGTAAACTGTTCCTATAGCTATGAACAACAAATCATATTAGACTTTCTTCCCTCTTCTAATAACACTGTATTATCATAAGTGCAAGATGGAGCAGGATGGAACCAGAAAGTGTTCCTGAGGTTGAAAATAAGGAAAACCTTACATCCTGGGCTATGAAGATTATTAAGTACTTAGATGACAAATTCATTGTAGCTATCAAAGATGTATATGGGAACAAACAGAAAGGATACTGGGATCTTTCCTTTCCTTGTAAAATTAATCTTTGCCATCATGAGATGCTTGAATTTGAGATCCTCAGGACAGTGAGAAGAGCGTGCAGCAAGCTCACTGCCCTGGACTTCAAAGGAGCAGACTTTGGCCTCTTCAGGAACCTGCTTCGGAAGGTTCCATGGGATACAGCCCTAGAGGGCAGGGGGGCCCAAGACTCTTGGTTGATATTCAAGGATCACCTGCTGCAAGCTCAGGAGTGTTGCATCCCAACTAGAAGGAAGTGCAGCAGGAGGGCCAGGAGACCTGCTTGGATGGATAAGGAGCTGCTGAGGAAAATTCAGTTGAAAAAAGAGGCTTATAATAAGTAGAAGCAAGGACAGGCGGCCTGGGAAGAGTACAGGGATGTTGTCCGGGAAGCTAGGGACCAGGTGAGGAAAGCTTAGGCCCAGTTAGAATTAAACTTCGCTAGAGGTATTAAAGATAACAGGAAGGGATTCTACAGGTACATAGCAAATAAAAAACAGACTAGGGAGAATGTAGGCCCCCTCAGGAAGCTCTCAGGAGAACTGGCTACACAGGATTTGGAGAAGGCTGAGGTTCTGAATGACTTCTTTGCCTCAGTCTTCACTGGCAAAGGCTCTGACCACACCACCCAAGTCTTGGAAGGCAGACACAGGGGCTGTGAGAATGAAGACCTTTGGCCCACTGTAGGAGAGGAACTGGTTCGAGACCATCTTAAAAATCTGAACGTGCACAAGTCCATGGGACCTGATGAGATCCATCCGCGGGTCCTGAAGGAGCTGGCAAATGAACGTGCGAAGCCGCTGTCCATCATATTTGAGAAATCATGGCAGTCAGGTGAAGTTCCTGACGACTGGAAAAAAGGGAAATATAACCCCCATTTTCAAGAAGGGGAAAATGGATGACCCGGGGAATTACAGACCAGTCAGTCTCACCTCTGTGCCTGGCAAAATCTTGGAGCAGATTCTCCTGGAAGGCATGCTAAGGCACATGAAAAACAAGGTGCTTGGTGACAGCCAGCATGGCTTCGCTAAGGGGAAATCCTGCCTGACCAGTTTGGTGGCCTTCTATGATGGGGCTACAGAACTGATGGACAGGGGTAGAGCAGTTGATGTCATCTACCTGGACCTGTGCAAAGCATTCGACACTGCCCCACACGACATCCTTGTCTCTAAATTGGAGAGACATCAATTTGATGGATGGACCACTCGGTGGATAAAGAACTGGCTGGATGGCCGCACACAAAGAGTTGTGGTCAATGGCTCAATGTCCGGCTGGAGACCAGTAATGAGTGGTGTCCCTCAGGGATCAGTGTTGGGCCCGGTCTTGTTAAACATCTTTGTCGCCGACATGGACAGTGGGATTGAGTGCACCCTCAGCAAGTTTGCCGATGACACCAAGCTGTGTGGTTCGGTTGATACGCTGGAGGGAAGGAATGCCATCCAGAGGGACCTCGACACACTTCTGAGGTGGCTGATGCCAACCTCATGAAGTTTAACCAAGCGAAGTGCAAGGTCCTACACCTGGGTCGGAGCAATCCCAGGCACAGCTACAGGTTGGGCAGAGAAGAAATTCAGAGCAGCCCTGCAGAGAAGGACTTGTGGGTGTTGGTTGATGAGAAAATGAGCATGAGCCAGCTTCAGTGTGTGCTTGCAGCCCAGAAAGCCAACTGTATCCTGGGCTGCATCAAAAGGAGCATGACCAGCAGGTCGAAGGGAGGTGGTCCTGCTCCTCTACTCTGCTCTTGTGAGACCTCACTTGGAGTATTGTGTGCAGTTCTGGTGTCCTCAACATAAGAAGGACATGGAAGTGTTGGAACAAGTCCAGAGTAGGGCCATCAGGCTGATCAGGGGACTGGAGCACCTCCCATATGAAGACAGGCTGAGACAGTTGGGGCTGTTCAGCCTGGAGAAGAGAAGGCTGCGTGGAGACCTTATAGCAGCCTTCCAGAATCTGAAGGGGGCCTATAGGAATGCTGGGGAGGGACTCTTCATTAGAGACTGTAGTGATAGGACAAGTGGTAACGGGTTCAAACTTAAACAGGGGAAGTTTAGATTGGATATAAGAAGGAAATTCTTTCCTGTTAGGGTGGTGAGGCACTGGAATGGGTTGCCCAGGGAGGTTGTGAATGCTCCATCCCTGGCGATGTTCAAGGCCAGGCTGGAAAGAGCCGTGGGTGATATGGTTTAGCGTGAGGTGTCCCTGCCCACGGCAGGGGGGTTGGAACTAGATGATCTTAAGGTCCTTTCCAACCCTAATGATTCTACGATTCCATGAATCTTACAGAACTGTTTAATCTAGCAGTTTTTCAGTGAAAGTATGTGACTTTGTTTAGGCAGTTTTTTGCAATTACTTTTTTCTTTGATGCAGTATAAAATAACTGAACATTTCATTTTTCCCCTGAAGTGTGGGGTTTTTGTTCTGGTTTGGTTTTGTTGTGGTGGCTGTTTTGGGGGGGGGTGGGGGGGAGGGGTGGGTTTTTTTTGTGTTTTTTTTTTTTTCTGGGGGTTTGGGGTTTTGGGGGGGGTGTTTCTTTGTGTGTTTTCTGACTCTGAAGTTGACACAGTCTTTGAAATGCTGCAGGAGGGAAACCTCAGTTCTTTCTTCCTATAATTGTAAAATAGCAGACTCTCCTAATTTGTTTGCTAAAACTTCTACAGAAATGTTATCTTTAAATAGAATTTTCTACTTAGCTGTAGGGCTTGTTGACTAATATTGTGTAGAATGTACCACGATATAGCTTAATTATTCTGTGTTTTTAGTTGGTATTTGACAGATTTTGTGATCATACAGTTTTACAATTAACAGTTTTAAGTTATTGGAACTTCAAATTTTCCAACAGATGTGAACTGGGGATCCTCAACCCAAGCTTTGACTTACTTGAATGCACTACAGCATTCTATTCGGCTCTCAGGAGTGGAAGATCATGTGAAAAACTTCAGGTAACAGTTAATATTAGAGACATATGAAATGTATTCAGTGGGGTACTATCACAGTGTTTGCTGTCATGGCTTCCATTATATGCCTCTTCATCTCCTGTGGGTTATAACAGCTTTAAATTTTATCACCATGGACATCTGCTGGACATATTTACATTAGTAGTTTATTTCTGATTAAGCAGAAGTCTATGTGTGATGCATGCTTATTGTTAGATGCCTCATGCTTTATATCATGAACCATGAACCACACTCTTCTTTGATGAATTGTGAGATATGCTCCAAACTGCTCATGAGCATACAGTCTACATGCTTGGTATAAAACCAATCTAATGTAAAATTCCCAAAATGTGTATGCTGTGTGTATTGCCTTCAACACCAGCTATTTCATGTTAGGCATATTCTCTCATGGCACTCCAGTAAGGGTAAACAGGCTATGCAAGTGTTTTTCACACAACTGGAGAACTGATTTTTGTCTTGCCAGCTTGGATACTCAGGAAGGTCCTACTGAAGGAGGCAATTTTCAGTCCTATAGTATTTACACCACTTTTCTGGAATAAGCTATTGTAGAAGAAAGATGCTTCCAAAAATTTAACAAAAAATATTGACTTAAACTAATCCTCCAATTAAATAGAATCATAGACTGAATGTGACCTTACCATGTGGCCTTGTCCAGTCCCTGACTGGACACACCATAGATCTAGCTGGAAAGTTATATCCAACTTTAATCAATCTTTACTTAATACAGTATTGTAAAGTAGATGAGGTTGCTGCCTCTCCAGTGACAGTTACGTTCATATAGCCTATATTTAGAAGAAACTTCATTCTGTTAATAAAAAAACACAACTCCAGATAAAATGAATTGCAACATTTTATTTTTCCTTCTCTATTCACAATTCTAGACCTCAGTGCTTAATTATGACAGGTGCTCCAAGTGCACGTCCAGCTTTGCTTCACCTTGTCCATGCTTTCACCAAGAATGTGGGTTTGATGATCTGTGGCCATGTACATATGGTAAGTCTGTTCATCTGTACTTTAAAGTCACTTATGTTTTTGTGTGATTTTTTTTTTTTTTTTTTTTTTTAAATCTGTTTGTGGTTCTTGTTTGTGTGGGTTTTTTCTGGTGACTTTTTATTTGGTTGGTTGTTTTTGGGGGTTTTGTTTTTTTTTTTTTGGTTGGTTGGTTTTTTTAGAAGAAAGTGTCTTAAATATGGAGAAGTGCAAAACCAGAGATACTCCGGTAGGATCCACTCATGTATGGGTTATCACTATTCCAGTTGGGTATACCACAGGGGAAACTTTGCAAAATTAGTACCTTTGGTCATTTGATGCTTAAATGCTTAGGAAGCTTTGTAGGAGTAAAGTGAATGTTAGATTACAGCCTGAGTCTCTTTCTGTCCTTGTGTAATACAGTCTTATGTTCTCTCTCATTCTTTGAACAGAGCAGTTGGTCAAAATGATGTGCAGTATACAGCTAGACTTCCTCTCAGTGTTACCATTTCAAGGGAATTGATAATCTCTGTAGATTTCTTAAAAATCCAGGCTAAAATAAACTTCGTTGAGCAGGAAATTCAACTAGCTCAGCCAACAGATTAGCTCTCAACATTTCATGCAGATTTTTATTCCTTCATTACCAGATTCATTTCATTGGCAGGTGAAAAAGTAATGCCAACAGGCATTTCTTTTCCTGTTACCTTTCTGCCCAGCCTCTAGTATTTTACTGACTTCCCCTGCTCTTTGTCAGGATATGAGGTGCGGGGTTTTGGGGGTTGAGGTTTGTGAGGGCTGTTGTGCAAGGACATAATTTTACCAGTTCTTACTAAAAAAAAGAGTTACCTTCTACAGCAGCCTGTAGAGGTTTTGGGGTGGGGAGACGAAAGCAAGCTTCAAGTAAATGCTCTTCAGTGTTGTGCTTGTCATGAGTTGTCTGAACCATGATACAAGGTGGCTGTCCTAACATGATCTGTACCAAATTTTCAGTTAGTTACAGAAAGGCTGTTGGATTTCTGATAAATTTTGGAATGTGTAGTTTAGCTTTATATCTTAAGACCTAACTTCTGTCACATCACTAAGAACATTTAAGCAAGTGTAACTTTAAATGCAAGGATTGGTTACTCTTAAATACATCTAAATTTAACCACACTTGTCAAATCTGACTTGCTTATAATCTAATGAACAGATAAGGCCAAATCAAGTTAATGCAGTATATAGAACCTACATTTTGTGAGGCAAATACAGTCCAGTTTTGTCTTCAGAAAAATCAATTATTTTTAATTCCTTACTATACAAACTTAAAATTTCAGTGAATGTGAAGGCCAGAAACTGAGTAATACTAGAGAGGTAAGCTACCATAGATGAAATTACTGGCTTTCAAAAGAATAAGGTAGCATCACCCTTCTTGTAGGAAAGAAGTTTAATATTTTCTGGGAGGGTATGCTATCTTTATTTAAAATTGCTTTCCTACAGAATGGGTGACACTATCTCATTCTTCAGTAACTCTAACCATTTGGTTCACATCCCTCTTGTGTTGGGGATACCGGAATTACTGTACGCAGTATTCCAGGGGGAGTCTCATGAGAACCAAGCAGAGGGGGAGAATCGCCTCCCTTGACCTGCTGGCCATGCTCCTTTGGATGCAGCCCAGCATAGGGTTGGCTTTCTGTACTGCAGGCAGACATGCTGGGTCATGTTGAGCTTCTCATCAACCGGTGCCCCAAAGTCTTTCTCCTCAGGGCTACTGAACATTTGGTCAAAGTCTGTATCCTCTTGTAAACTGTATCTTACTGCAAAAACTGGGCTACTGTGTTCTTGATTATACCTCATTCTGGATTTTGATGTATAGGAGGAGCACAATGATCCATCCTGATGGAAGTAATAAAAAGAAAGTACTTAATGAGGAGACTACTTTGACTGCAACATAAAACTGCAGATGTACGTGACAAAGCTTCTTAATCCCAGCCTCCCAGGGCAGGCTGGGAGGAGAACTGAATAAGTTAATTAAAATCCTTGATCAGGGTATAGTTCATTACAAAGCCCTTTCTTTTTAAAACTTGTTACACTGTGTGTGTTAGCCAGGCATTGTTTCTCCTGACTAAAGCTGAACTGTCCTGATTTGCACTGGGATATTTTTCTCCTAGCAGCTGGTACAATGTTGTGTTTCAGCTTTAGTCAGAGAACAATGCTGGTAACACACCGCTGTTTTAGTTGCTACTGAGCAGTGCTTACCCTGATCAAGGACTTTTCAGCCTTTTATCTCAACCTGTGGGGTTTACAGTGTTTCAGTTCTCCTCCCCATCCTGCCTGGGGAGGCTGGGATTAAGGAGGGGAGGGTGTGAGTGAACAAGAAGCTTGTGCCACCTGCTGAGGAAGCGGGCTGTGTCCTGCGGGAACAAGATGGGCAAGTTTCAGCAATCCTCCTCCTGAAAATCAGAATCTGGTTCACTCTGCTGCTGCTAATGCCTAATTTTTTTCTTTTTTTTTTTTTATTTTGTTTTTTTCGTTGGTTTGTGGTTGGGTTTTTTTTTGTTTTTTTTGTTTTTTTTTTTTATAGTGTGGAAACATGTTCTGAGTTTCCTCAAACTTGAGTTGGATTCTGGTGGGGTGGGGCTTTACTACTACTTGTAATTCTTGTTCTCTGTCATTTTTATTTCTTTATTTCAAAGGGTCCTCGGAGGCAAGCCATGAAAGAACTGTCAACTGACTTGGCTAAATATCAGCGATGGCTGATTAAAAACAAGATGAAGGCTTTCTATGCTCCAGTGCATGCAGAGGACTTGCGGGATGGAGGACAGTACTTAATGCAGGTACACCTCTCCTTCAATTTTTAATTTTTTTTTTTAAAGTAAGTGATGAAGATGAACATCAAAGTTTGAAATGTTTTTATACTTGGAAGTAGTTTTATTTTTCATAGTTATATAATAAATACATGTATAATAAAAATACTTTTTCCTGTTTAAGAAAATAATAGAACCTTTATTTTTATTCTTCTTAGGCTGCTGGCCTGGGTAGGATGAGACCTAACACCCTTGTTGTTGGATTTAAGAAAAACTGGAGACAAAGTGACATGAGAGATGTTGAAACCTACATCAATTTATTCCAGTAAGCAGAGAATGTGGAGCTGTAGCTCTTATGTTCCATTTCAGTACGTTCAGTAATGAGGTGAAATCAGTTGTGTGAAGTCTCACGTATACTCTGATTTTCCATATTGCTGATCTAGCAGTCTTCAATACTTTGTTTTCTTCTGATACAGAAATTAATAAGTTTTTATACTCTAAAAGGATTCTATTTCTATATAATAACTCTTTCTGTGTCTAGAAAGTGTTGCAGCAGTGGTCTGAGGTTTAAGAATCTGCACAGATGAACCTAGTATCTTATGTGCCAGTCTTTGAAGCATGTTGTCTACTTAAAGCAGGGTTTTTCCTACACTACTTCTGTACAAATTAAGTGTAGTGAAGAATTAATCAGTTCTTATGCTGAAACTCTTATCATTATTAAACCTTGCTGTTACATACAAGAAATATTCTACTTACAAGATACACAGCACTGACTCACAAAGTAATACAGTAGCCAAAAGGGAGATGGGGAAGGAAGTACTAGTGTAATTTGACAGTATTGAAAGACCAGTTCTGGCTGAAAAACTTCAAGCATAATTTGTACTACAAACACTTAAGAAAACCAAAGCTTGCTTCTTGTGCTTATACAGAAGATTTTTTGTTTTTCTTAAATGCTGCTTAACCTGCTTCATTTGTGTTTTACAATTTTCACTTACTGTGCATTTGAAAGAAACAGGATGGAGGGATTATGGGGAGAGATTAGAAAAGAAAAGCAAATAGTTCCTTAAATTCATTAAGAGCAAAGAATCATACCTGTTCTTGAAAGAAGCCAGAGCATCAAATGCAGTGAAAAAAAAGGAAACATGTTGGTTAGTTCTTGGGTTTTCTTTTTTTCTTATTTTATTTTGGAATGGCTTGTGCTGGAAGATGTATCAAGGCCAACAAGTCATGTGATTCTCCATACCCCAAAAGAGAAAGCTCAGGAGGTAATAACTGTAGCTCAAGCATGTTTCTGGAGAATCTCTGGAAAATTGAAAGTTCCTAAAGCACACAATAGATATCTAAACACATCTAATCTGTACAGATTTAACAAATTAAATCATTAATTTAAAATGTTCACTAATGGACAAAACATTTTCTTATTACCAACCTCAATTTTTCTTGCATAATAGAATATATTGACACTTTGAATGTTTCTAATCAAGTCTTACTGCTTCTAAAGAGAAGTGTTTAATGAGTGAAATCTTGCGAAATTTCTGTCTGTGGAAATGACATAGGAGAAAGTTCTCTGATTTATTGTTTGTAATAACGTATTTGTATTTAAAGGACTGATGATTGATAACTTGCAGACTGTATGATATGGTTAAGTTCATGTTTTTCTGTTGTGTTTCTTGAGGGTTTTTTTGTTCTTTATTTTACTTCGTTTTCACTCAGTGATTTATTCAGGCTTTTTGCTTTTTTATAAGGTAATGATGTTTTCCTTTATTTTATTTTTTTTTTTAAAGGGGCAAGTTCTTTTCCCATCAGATATAATGGGAATAGGCATGTTATAGCTAATTGGATTCTATATTACAACTTCATAAGTGTGTTTAATACCAAATGTTTTGGAAACTTGTGTTTAAAGTTTTAGTTCTCAGATCAATGAGATCTAGTCAAAATATGTCTCTTTTTTACGGGGAGAGATAAAACTTTAGATTTCTCAGTGTATCTGGTCATCCTTCATTAAGAACTTGATTGCCCTGTTAGTGTTTCTTTTATTGAATTGCTGTTTACAGGGGAGAGATGGAGAGGGAATTGATCTGTGTTGCTTTTCAGGATATGTAATTCAGTTCACTAATGCAGTTGACAGTCTGGAATATAAACTGAAATTGTAACACACATTTATGATTTGGGAGTTTAAATGGCAGTATTTAATCACTGGAGTTTCTTCAAAGAGGGTGCGTAAAGTAGCTTTTTGTAAAAGAAAAAGGTGAAAACACTTTATTTTTGTTCCTTTTGTTCAGTGATGCCTTTGACATTCAGTATGGGATAGTTGTCATCCGCCTAAAGGAGGGCCTGGACATTTCTCACCTTCAGGGCCAAGGTAAGATTTATTTTGTTTCCTCTGCTTCTAATTCGCTTCTAATACTGCTTTCTGAAAATACTAAATGAAAATAAATTAAAAAAAAACAAACAAAAACCAAAACAAGAGCCAAAACAGAAGACCACATTAAGCCAAAATAGAACACAGAATTAACACCCCCCCCAAAAAAAAAAAACAAAAAAAAACCCACCCAAAACAAAAAACCACCACACAACAAACTAAAAAAACAGTTGTCTTTACAGAGTAAAAATCATGGAAAGAAGCAAGCTAGAAATGTAAAAGGCAAAAACTGCCCGTGTATAATGACAGAACTTTGTTTTCTATGTGTTTCAACTTTCAGTATTCATAAGCTGCATATAGTTTCTTCCCAAAGATTTACTATGTTACTGAAACAAACAGGCTGGCAAATTGATATAAAGTATTTGGACCCAGGTCTGACAATGATGAAAATCACAAATGTTGCATGATCCAAGAGTGCTGAGGGTCTGGTGTGGGTTGCCAACCCCTACATGCACTAGGGCAGAAATCTCAGCAGTAGTCCATTTCAAGTTTGGAAAGGCTTTGTTTTTCCATATAGAAGCCTTGGTTATGTTTCGTAGTAGCGATCGTAAGCCAAATGATAAAATTTTAGTTAAATTTCAAGCAGAATAATGGAGAAGGCCTGTGAGCTTTGGCAGCAACTGTCTGCTGAATTGATAGTGTCTGATTTGTTTGTAGCTTGCTCCCTACAGTGTTGCACAATGAAGAACACTTGTGACACAAGTTCTGTAGGGGGGCATCCTCTTGAAAGAGGGGAGAGTTGTTCCTTCATTGGAAACATACAAATGTCTTAGGATTTGGAGAGAAGCAGAGAGCCTGTCACTCTGTGCAGTAGGGCATAGGAATGTGAGAAAATGGCAAGGAGTGTAGTGTGAAAACAACAGTGCTGAGAACATTGATGAATGAAACACCAAGGTGTCAGAAGCTTCTTAACATCCTCTGTTGACTGCGAGTTTGCTTTAAATGTGACAGCTACCAATTAGCTCCACTGAAGCCAGATCTGGAAAAAAATCTTAGCTGTGTTAACACACTTCGTCTGGGCCTTGTCTGAGGTTCATCTTCCTCTTGGAGTTAGAGTAGAAATGGAAAATATTTCTGCAAGTAATTTTTGTTTCCTCCTGGTTATATTTTTCAGTATTTCTGGCTCTGGTTTATGTTCAGCCTGTGGTAATGCAATCAATAGCAAAAATCTGGGAAGAAACTAGCAGGAAATTACAGCTTTGCTCAGAGGAGGAGTCTCCTTGTATTCTGAAACATTTCACACAAGACTTTCTGGTGGTTTTCTACCCTTTTTTAAGAATTTTCTTTCCCTTTCTTTGCCATGGTATAAGAATTGCAGTAGAGGTTAACCCACTGTGAAGTAGCTCTGTATTGTCTCACACCTGTAATGATACCATTTGGACAATTAAATTGTTTAAAATGTGTTTCTGTGCTTTCTCAAAGAAGAATTGCTGTCATCCCAAGAAAAATCTCCATGTACCAAGGATGTCATAGTAAAAGTGGATTATAGCAAGAAGGCGGAGACAGACACTTCTATAGCTTTTGCTCCATCATTTAGTGAAAGAACTTCCACTTCATGTAAAGGTAACTTGCTAGTTAGCAATGAATTTTCAATTCTCACTGTTTCTCTCTTTCATTCTGTTTTCAGGTTCTCTATCCCCTCTCCAGGGAATTATTTAAGGCAGTTTTCTGTGTGGAATAGAAGGGTCATGCTTTTCTAGCTGTTGATATGACATGGTTTAGTGGGAGGTGTCCCTCCCCATGGCAGGGGGGCTGAAACTAGATGATCTTAAGGTCCTTTCCAACCCTAACTATTCTATGATTCTGTGATATCACTAAAGTTCTTTGGTTCAGAACTTCTAGTGTGTAGAATAAAACTACATCTTGTCCGTTAAATAAAACAGGGAGTAGACAGTGACATGCAGTAGATTTTCTTTGTTAATGAGTTAGGCATTAAAAAATGCTTGAGAATCGTGCTACACATCTGTACATTTAACTGTGATTTGAAGACTGCTGAATTTATGAAGAGTTTTTCACCTTAGGCTAGAGTATTATATCTATGATAGCTGACACATATAATTTGCGATATTTTTACATGAGAATAACCAGTTTTCCTCTTATTTTAAAATAAAAGCTTGGAGTGACTTAATAGGCACTTTAGAGGAGCCAGCAAGAAGTGCTATGCTTGACCTTGTGCTCACCAACAGAAAAGGGCTGATTGGAAATATGATGCTTCAGGGCAGCCTTGGTTGTAGCAATCATGAGATGGTCGAGTTAGAGATCCTCAGGATAGTGAGAAGAGCGTGCAGCAAGCTCACTGCTCTGGACTTCAAGAGAGCAGACTTTGGCCTCTTCAGGAACCTGCTTCGGAAGGTTCCATGGGATACAGCCCTAGAGGGCAGGGGGGCCCAAGACTGTTGGTTGATATTCAAGGATCACCTGCTACAAGCTCAGGGGTGTTGTGTCGCAACTACAAGGAAGTGTGGCAGAAGGGCCAGGAGACCTGCTTGGATGGATAAGGAGCTGCTGAGGAAAATTCAGTTGAAAAAAGAGGCTTATAAAAAGGTGGAAGCAAGGACAGGCGGCCTGGGAAGAATACAGGGATGTTGTCTGTGAAGCTAGGGACCAAGTTAGGAAAGCTAAGGCCCAGTTAGAATTAAACTTAGCTAGGGATGTGACAGATAACAGGAAGGGATTCTATAGGTACATTGCAGATAAAAGACAGACTAACATGGGCCCTCTCCGGAAGCTGTCAGAACTAGCTACCCTGGATTTGGAGAAGGCTGAGGTTCTTAATGACTTCTTTGCCTCATTCTTCACTGGCAAAGGCTCTGACCACACCACCCAAGTCTTGGAAGGCAGACGCAGGGACTGTGAGAATGAAGACCTTAGGCCCACTGTAGAAGAGGATCTGGTTCAAGACCATCCTAAGAACCTGAACACGCACAAGTCCATGGGACCTGATGAAATCCACCTGCGGGTCCTGAAGGAGCTGGCAAATGAAGTTGCTAAGCCACTGGCCATCATATTTGAAAAATCATGGCAGTCAGGTGAAGTTCCCAACAACTGGAAAAAGGGAAATATAACCCCCATTTTCAAGAAGGGGAAAATGGATGACCTGGGAAATTACAGACCAGTCAGTCTCACCTCTGTGAGGTGACACTGGCAAAATCTTGGAGCAGATTCTCCTGGAAGGCATGTTAAGGCACACGAAAAACAACAAGGTGCTTGGTGACAGCCAGCATGGCTTCACTAAGGGGAAATCCTGCCTGACCAGTTTGGTGGCCTTTTATGATGGGGCTACAGAACTGATGGACGGGGGTAGAGCAGTTGACATCATTTACCTGAACTTGTGCAAAGTGTCCCACATGACTTCATTGTTTCTAAATTGGAGAGACATCAGTTTTATAGATGGACCACTCAGTGGATAAAGAACCGGCTGGATGGCTGCAAGCGAAGAGTTGTGGTCAATGGCTCAATGTGCAGCTGGAGACCAGTAACGGGTGGTGTACCTCCAGTGCAGTTGGAGGGAAGGAATGCCATCTAGAGGGACGTTGACACGCTTGTGAGATGGGCTGATGCCAACCCTCATGAAGTTTAACCCTGCCAAGTGCAAGGTCCTACACCTGGGTCGGAGCAATCCCAGGCACAGCTACAGGTTGGGCAGAGAAGAAATTCAGAGCAGATCTGCAGAGAAGAACTTGGGGGTGTTGGTCGATGAGAAACTGAACATGAGCTAGCTTCAGTGTGTGCTTGCAGCCCAGAAAGCCAGCTGTATCCTGGGCTGCATCAAAAGCAGCGTGACCAGCAGGTCGAAGGAGGTGATCCTGCCCCTCTACTTTGCTCTCGTGAGACCTCACTTGGGAGTACTGTGTACAGTTCTGGTGTCCTCAACATAAAAAGGACATGGAACTGTTGGAACAAGTCCAGAGGAGGCCACGAGGATGATCAGGGGACTGGAGCACCTCCCATATGAAGATAGGCTGAGAACGTTGGGGCTGTTCAGCCTGGAGAAGAGTGTGTGGATACCTCATAGCAGCCTTCCAGTATCTGAAGGGGGCCTATAGGGATGCTGGGGAGGGACTCTTCATTAGGATCTGCAGTGACAGGACAAGAGGTAACGGGTTAAAACTTAAACAGGGGAAGTTTAGACTGGATAGAAGGAGGAAGTTCTCTACTGTAAGGGTGGTGAGGCACTGGAATAGGTTGCCCAGGGAGGTTGTGAATGCTCCATCCCTGGCGGTGTTCAAGGCCAGGTTGGGCAGAGCCTGGTGTGAGATTGTTTAGTGTGAGGTGTCCCTGCCCACGGCAGGGGGGTTGGAACTGGATGATCTTAAGGTCCTTTCCAACCCTACCTATTCTGTTATTCTATGGTAATAGTTAAATGAGCAGTGGGAGTACAAATAAATCTGAGGATCTCCTAGTCTGCAATTGTGTTCCTTTCTTTGTATGAAAATCCATTTCATTCCACATCTTTATTTTCTGGTTTTTATGTATATTAGTAGCACTTTCACTAACATCAAAATTAACATTTTTATTTTGTATCTTTAAAAATCTTCCAGAGGAGGACGAGGATGGAAAGACTCCAGCACAACCTCTATTGAAAAAAGGCAGGCATTTTCCACCTTTTTTGTGTTAAATCATTCTTTTGCATTATTAATTTCAGTTTTCCTTTTGTATTCCTTTCTACACACCACACATATGTATATAAAAATAAATACATATATATATACCTAAATGAAAGAGAGGAAAATACCAACCTTGCAGTATTGTTTTTTCATTTCTGCTGGAATGTGGTTCATCTTCAGGGATTTGACTGTGTAAAAATGCAGCTTTGTGGAAATTCCCAGATGAAGTTGCTACTTGCTGAGAAAGGATTGTGCATATATCTAAGATTTTAAACTTCTGTTCTTAAGTAACATTTGAAATGTATTCAGGAGCTTGTTCAGCATTCTGTCCCTTAGGTACCTATCTGGGTCCTTACTTGATTTAGGAGTACTGCAAATATTACCTAATGGTAAAGTGAAAGTGCTCCATCAGTATATTCAGTGGCTCTTCTAAAGACATAGTTGCTGCTGTGTTATTTGGAGCTCTTCAGCAGCTTTCAAATTAAAGCATAATACAGCCACTCAGTGAGATTAACATCTGAAGTAATATGAAGTATTAATTCAAATAAACAGCATTTTCAGAGCAGTTTTCACTTCCTGGTTTATTTTGGACCTTTTTCAAGTTAAGCAAATATTTTTGCCTTAACTAAAATTTATCTTAACTTTTTTGTTATTTTCTTCACAATTTCAACAGCCAGAAGCTGTTGGGTTTTAATGATGTAAAGTGAGATTACATGTTGAAGCACAAAATGCAGTTTGGAAGAAGTTCCAGTATGCAGTAAAGTAAATGTAAATCAGTCACAGATGTAAATTTAAAAATTCCCAGTAAAATAATGACTGAGATGAATATCAGGCTCCTGGCTCTTGTTCAAACTGAAGTTTTATTTAGGAGAAAGGGGTTAATTTTTTCCTTTAGTTTCTTAAAAAGTTACTACTTAAGATACCACAAAATACTCAGAAGTTGCATTTGATGAATTTCTGAGTGACTAAGTAAAACACTTCAATTCTATCATACTTTTTTTGCCAGATTCAAAGATCCAGTCTTCTTCTTTAAATTTGACTGACCAAAGACTTCTTGATGCTAGTAGTCAATTTCAGAGGAAACAAGGCAAAAGCAATATTGATGTCTGGTGGCTCTTTGATGATGGAGGTAATGTGCTTTCTGCTTTAAATGTTAAAAAATTACTGAAGTTACCTTGTAATTAATTGTTAATACATAGCTTTCAATCAGTTCATACATAAATTACAAATTTGTACTATTAAACACAATGCTATTGTTTTCTGAATCATTCCCAAATTCTGGTCAAACTGCAGGTTTGACATTGTTGATTCCGTATCTTCTTACAACCAAGAAGAAGTGGAAAGACTGTAGGATCAGAGTGTTCATTGGTGGAAAAATAAACAGGATTGATCATGACAGAAGAGCGTAAGTTTACCTTTAAAACTTTAATTCAAAATGCTAATAGATCATGCTACACAGGACATGGCTTTCTGTTCCTAGTAGCCTTCTTTCAGTTGTTCTTTAGCTGAGGTGTAATCATACTCTGTTCCCTCTTTCCAAAAAAAGTTCCATTTCCCGCAGATTGTTTTGGATGAGATATGTCAAGTTAATTTGTTTGCAGCAGCATTGTCTGACACTTAACGTTCTTTTTTTCAAGTATTTTCTGAATTTGTCTTTAAGGAAGAGCTCTTTAGTTTTTACAACCAAACACCTATCTGTTTAACCCTGTGAAATAATTAAAACTCTGATCATACATAAAGGCTTGTTTTCTTGATACAGGATGGCTACTTTGCTCAGCAAGTTTAGGATAGACTTCTCGGACATTATGGTTCTTGGGGATATTAATACTAAGCCAAAGAAAGAAAAGTAAGTCTCGGAAAATTCAGTTTCTTTGTTTCCTGAATACTTGATTCATTCATGAATTTTGATTACTTCATTCTTTCCTACATATCAGTTTTGATTAGAGTAGTTCCTGTGATATGCAGTACTTCACAAAAACAGGGGAAATAAACCCGACATCCAAGAACAAAGAATTTTGTATTTTTTTAAATTCTCTGGCCCTTAGACTGTAATACTAAATTTAGAAAAATACAGTTATAAGAATCCAATTTGTCTGGAGTGAAAGAGAAATGCTCACAAAAAACTTAAATGGCCTTTATCTTACTTGGAGCCATAGTTTAATGTAAAAAAGCTTGGTCTTCAAATAGCTATGTGATATTTCTGATTTTCAATTTTAAGAAACATTAAATTATAGATGGCTTTCAGGACAAATATGTAACAGCATGTGTGAGATGAAAAAATATTATCCTCCTTTCCATTCAAGTCATTAGTGTGTTGAAGCTGTAAAACTATCTTTTATGTGGATTTGCATATGACTGAATAATTTCACGTCATGCAAATTAGAAAATACTTGTTTGCAACTTACGTAAATGGTGAAGGCTGGTATGCATTGGTTTTTATTCTGCTTTCAGTCACCTTTTCTTAAGTGTATAGAGTATATCAAGCAATTAGAACACTAGACTACTCCTGCCACTCTGATGCTTTTGGGATGTCTTAACTCTTGGGAGCCTGCTATTTTTCAGTGTGAAAAACTTAGAGGTAGCACATATTTATGCATAAAAAGTTGAGCTAGTAGAATTACATGTTGTTATTTTTTTTTTTTTGTAGAGGTGATCCACAAGTTATTTCTTCTCAAAGCATTTTTTTCTATCTCTGCGGGTACATTCCCCACAATACATCCAAAACCTTTGTAAGATGCTAGTTGGCCTTAATAATAGCTGTAAGGAAAGTGGAGGAAGATGATTTAAGTTGCAATGTTATGTAATAGAATATTGTCACTACTTTTCCTTTTTGTTCAGGCAAAAAATAGATCACATTTGTTTTTTCCCTTTTAATAAAGGTGAAGTCATCGTAACTTCAGTAAAGAGCACCAAAAGTAGAAAAAAAAAATTTTTTTTTTTTTTAAGCAGTGTGTGGGGTTTCCTGGAGGAGCAGGAACGCCTCACAAAATGGGCATGTGGGGAGCGTTTAACTATACAGAAGCTAACGTGTTACACATACTGATACTACAATTTATCCTAAGAGGTGTTCTTTAATGTCTGTTAAACTTGCCACACTGTAATTTGCAACCACAGAACACTGGCAATACCTTGTCATCTATATAAAAAACCCATTTAAATAGCATCAAAATGCAGTTACTTCATTGGTTGCAAAACATAATTTCAATATGTATAGGTAAAAATCTTGTTTATTTTTCTCACATCTCACATGCTGGGTCTATTGAAAGACAAGTTACTTTCATAACTGTGGCAGCCTTGTTTGCTGTTCAAGTATCTTAATGTCGGTAGAGAAAGTAAGGTAATGCAAGTTGTTCTTGTTGAAACAAATGCCTCTTCAGTCTTCATAAGGTTTTCTTCCAAAGTTTTTGCTAAAGTTCAAGTAAAGTCAAAGTAGCTTCTCATATTCTAACAACGGCAACAGTAAAGATGGCTGTGGTTGTTTGCATTTGAATGTGACTCTAGGACTGTATTGCAAAGGTTAAGAAACAGAATAAAAACATCAAAGCCAAAATCCTAATGGCATAAGCATGAAACTTGATAGCTATTTTTTTTTTTAGTGTGACATGTAAACTTACCTTTCAGATTTAATTCTGAAGCTACTGCTACTCAAGTCCTCAACTTTCAAAATTACAGTAAAACTCTTACCGAAAGTTGTTTGGGGTTTTTATTTTTAAACTGGCTAAAACTTTTTATTGCATGATGAATAGTGAAAGCTGCTACAGATGTCCCTAATTGTTGAATTATGTGTGCATATATAAGTAGCTGATCTGATGTTCTAACTGCAGTTGGCAATGAACAGATTTCAGTTCACTTTATTTTTACATGGTAGTAAAACTTCCTGATACATGAAAGTCATTGCTGACACAGACTCATATCTATTCTAATACGGCTGTTCAACTTACTTGTTCCAGTATTGCAGCTTTTGAAGAAATGATAGAGCCCTTCCGACTTCATGAAGATGATAAAGAACAAGAAGTTGCAGATAAAATGAAGGAGGATGAACCGTGGAGGATAACAGATAATGAACTTGAGCTTTACAAAACAAAGGTTCTGTATTTTTTTTTTTTACCCTACTTCATTTGTGGATGTAAAATCAGTGAGTTCATGCTTGTAATTATCTCTTCCATAGTTGTTTTTATGCATAGCTGATGGAAAGCGGCATTTAAAACCATTTATGTGGTTTTCAAAAAAAAAAAAGAAATATTTCTGCCTTCTGGGAAGGGGAGGGCCTAAATGCCTTTATTTAGTATAATATAGTTTTTATTCACCTGTCTGACTTTTTTTTTTTAACCAAACATACCACATCTGGTTGTGGTGTTAAAGAGCAATTAAAAGTTTGCTATTTTCCCCAGGTAGTCATGCACTATAGAGGCATCAGAGGTACTCCTTTTCAGTTGGATCTGTAGAGGAGACTCAGGTAGCATTTTGTAACAGGATTCAGATACAGACAGGTAACTGAAAAGAAGACTGCTTAAGTTTCAGTAATCTCAAATTCTTCAGGATGGTTTTGAATGTATTCCACACATCTTTTTTTTCTTTCCTGTATGGGTTTTACAACTTCTGTGAGAATTTGCTGTGGAGAAGCAATGGGAATCTCTTAACTGCAAATTACCAAGGGGTTGGGGGAGAGTGGGAATTTTATGAAGTACAGTTACTTTATGGTTAATGACCTGCTCGATGCTTTCCTGTTCCTCATGTCTATAAACACTGCCAAAACTAACTTCAGTAACTGAAGTGATTTATTCTGTGTGCTAATAGCTTAATTTTTTCCTCAGACACTAGCCTGCGGGCTAAGTAGACTTCAGCTTATTTGAGAATAACAGAACTATAAGAAATGGTTACCTCAAAATTTTTGCTAGGAAGTTAGTTGATGTAAGAGCTGAACTCTACTGAGGAAGCTACCTGAGATGTTAAGACAGTGCAGGCCCACCACAGTGATGAAGACAGGACTTCACTTATCTAAGCTTCTGTAACTGTGAGCTTCTAAGATACAGTTAAGAGAACCTTAAAGAGAGTATATAAGGGGTTCTTGCTTACAGGAGCTATGGAGGGTGGTATCATTATTAGAGTAACTACTTCAGACTTTCACAGTACTTGGCTTATTTCCAAACTTTAAGCTTACTGCTTTCTTCTCTCCCAGCCTTGCAGTCATAGGTGGTTTGGAACAGTGGACAGGTTGCCAAACTGAGGTGGAAGTACATGCTTCCTCCAAATGACTTGTACCAATTCATCATAACTGTTTTTCATTTTTCTTGAATAAATAAAATTCTTGTACTTTTGTATAAAAGATCTTCCTAACAAGTTTCATTTTAATTACAGACTTACCGCCAGATTAGGCTAAATGAGTTGCTACAAGAGCATTCAAGTACAGCTAATATAATTGTCATGTAAGTAAATGATGTCTACTGTTACCTTAATTGATACAGAACTGTAATTTAAAATATGTGTAAATACAGGTTAGGGAAAAACTGGTGCCTTGACATTAAAGTACAGAAATACTCAAGGTTTCAGTGCTGGAAATATTTGTTAGACATATAGAGATACTATACTAATGAGTGAAAAGTGGCCTGTGTAGTTTTAGCTTAACTCCACATTTATAGCAGGGGTCAGGATTCTCACATTCCTCTTCTGCATGCCAGATGTTCCCCTTTCTTTCCTGTCCTTCCATTCAGATTTTTTTTCTAGGAAATCTGTCTAGGTGAAGTTAAATTTCATCCTGCTGATGGATTTTCATGGAATTGCTTTTGGTGTAAACAAGCAGAATGAAGATTGTATGTTTCCTTAGAATCACAGAATAGTTAGGATTGGAAAGGACCTTAAGATCACCTAGTTCCAACCCCCTGCCATGTGCAGGGACATCTCACACTAAAATGTTATTATAAATAAAATCCTTGTTGTGTTTTTCTTTAGGATCATACTTTATCACTTCATGAAGCAGTATTACAAGTGAAGTTTGAGTAGGGCAATTAAACAGTAGGGGTTTTTTAAGAGAAATGTATGGCATGTTTTGGAAGGGCTGTGAGAAAGAATGTTAGATTGCAGTGTAAAAAAAGAAAAAAAAAAAAGGCTTGTTTTTAAAATTTTGAGTTTTTCAAGAAAATGTCCTTAACTGAGGAGAATTCTCCATGAAGCTACCTGAATATAAAATGGTGGTAAGAGGCCATGAGTGAGGGGTAATTAGATGTAAAGGCCTGTGGTGCTTAGGATAGGAACTCTCAACCCATTAACTGAATTCTGGGGCAGGGGGAGGGGAAGCAAAAGAAAAACTGAAAAGGTTAGGAAATTTAATTTTGCATCTACCTCTTTGCACAATTGTACTTTCATGTTTACATGGCATGACTTGTACTCCACCAGCTTTTTCTAATTGTTGAATGCTTTTTTTTCTTTGTGAATTGTAGGAGTTTGCCAGTTGCACGAAAAGGTGCAGTTTCTAGTGCGCTGTACATGGCCTGGTTGGAAGCACTGTCTAAGGATCTGCCACCAATTCTTCTTGTTCGTGGGAATCATCAGAGTGTTCTTACCTTCTATTCCTAAGAGTGCTGCACATGGGACAGCTATGATGAAATGGTACTTCAGTGTACAGTGGAGAGTGACTTACATATATATGATCTATAGTTTATTAACATCACAAATGCAAAAAGTGACTCTTCTTTCACGATTTCACTGACTTGAAAGCACACAAGGAAAGTTGCTGTATTTCTAAAGGTGTGACATCTTCAGTTTTATTCTGTATTTTCTGTAATCTTGCTTAATGGGGGAGGATTCCTTGTTAGACTGAAGAATAAGACAAGCTTTTTGTTTGCTATTTGAATAGCAGCAATAAAATGTTTTATTTTTGATCAATAAAAGTATTATAGATTTATAAAAGCCTTTTAGCCTTGAGGTGCCTTCTGAAATTAACCAAATCTCATCCATACATCCTATTTTGTAAATTTATATAGAATGTCAAAAATCTGCCTTCAGCTAAGAGTTTAGATCAGACTTCCTTTAGTTTCTAGTCTCTTCCATATTACAATAAAACTGAATGCTGCTTTTCAGTCTTCCATCAAGATATTAGTTCTTAATACTGTATGTTTTCTATTGTCAGAATTTTTTTTATTATTATTATATCTGTTAGATTTAAAGGTCAGAATTGGGGCAGGTCAGTTGCATTAACACAGTTTTGTGATGCGATTGTCAAGACTTTGTGCTACTAAATTTTGTAAGAGTTAAAATAAAATTAATTCCTACTAGCAGAGAGAATCCTTTTCTCAAATTTGACAATATGTACTACTGAGATACATGGCTAACATTAGCTACCTTGGCAAAGGTGTGTCTAGAGCTTTGTAGCTCCAGCGTGAAGCCAAATTCATCTTGCTGTCTGAGGCTCTTAGTACAAATGAGAAGACCTGTCCCTAGTTCTTGGCCTATTGTATTTTGGTGTCACTTTCAAACTTACTTTGAAACAAAACTTAAGGCTTGAATGGGGATAATATAAACAATGTGATGCTATCTAACAGAAAACAGTAAACACTATGTGAAAACTTGCTATCCAATATAAAATGTAAAAGCTACAGTTCTCTCGCATTTTTCAACAAATGGTTAAAAGGACCACTAGTTACTAGGGGAGATGTTTTTAGGTCAATCCGTTCAGTTGTCAGAAAATACATTTATTTTTATTAAATAATACTCAGGTTTGATTGTCTAGCCATTTAGATCTCTTCCATACATCCCACTTTATACATTTTCTATGTTCAATAAAGAAACTGCCAATCTTATATGCCCTTTCATTGCATATTTTAAAAACTTCATAATTTAGTCTACTATGAACACCTACACAAGAAAATTCACTTAAGCCTTTGTATAAAGGTCCTAATGTGAACTATTTTTTAAATTCCTAATATATTTTGGATAGAAACGATTACCTAAAAACATTTCACAAGCTTTTGATATTAGTATTGGGCATGCTACTGAATCAGTTTACCAGCGGTGGAGTCACTTTCACTTAAGGATGCACAGAAAAGGTGTATTTTTATGATAAATACAAGATCAAATTGAAATATAACTTCCTTTTGAAGGACAAAGTGTAATTGTTGTGTGGTAAAGTAGAGCTTCAAGTTGTGATTAAAGATAGAAATAATTTACACAGTGCAGTTTACAATGTTGTCAAGTTCTTGATAAACTGCTAAAAATCTTTTTTGCTGTTTCAGTTGGATTTGAGATTATTGAATCACTTCCTTTATTAAAAAAATTAATAAAAACAAGTAAGTGTTTTGCTGCTAAGTGTGAGATAACTGATGCCAGCATGAACCCAGCTTGTTACAATAGACATTGTAAGACAAGACTGCAGTAAAAGTGCTATTTCCTTCCAGGTTGAGGGGGTGGGGAACAAACTTACCAGTGTATCTATTACAGGTTTTACAGTGTTTTTTTGGGGAAAGGGATGTCACATTGTGAGTATGGAATCATTGCTGTGTTTCTTCTTGTTTTGTGGGTCACATTCTTTCGAACAGATGGGACAGTAAGGCATGGACTTAGTGCTGCTATCATTAAAAATAAAAAATAAATACATGCACAGGTACACTTAAAAGATTTTTTTTCCCATTCAGGAAATCATTGCTTGTGATCTGTAACACAGAAACCAAATGAAGTGTGTGTATACATGCATATATGTGTATAAAAATTATATAAAATATATCTAAATATGCATATGGGGATAGTTAAAGTAGTCTGTGAAGTAATGTAGGATGCTTTTCTCATGCACTCTGAAGTCCACTAATGCTAGGCACGGGGTCAAGCTTCAAGATTATTTGCTACACTAAAACTTCAATAGTTAATGGTAATTGTTTGCAAGATGTCAGTTAGTGGCAGTCACTCCAAACTTCTGCTTTTGATTTTGACACCAAATTAGGTATGTTCCAATCATTAATTACTTGAAAAATGAAATTACTTACACACGGCAATTCATACCTTCTATAGATTAGGTTTCTTTATATGGGTTTAGAAAGACAGTTGTAGCTGGAGCAAATCAATTATTTATTTGTTCACTTGTATTTAGGTTTCCTTTTACATACATTCTTTTTATATGCTTTTTCTGACATTGCATATTTAAAAATAACTGAAAATAATTTAAAGATCTGAGCATTAGTGGGTAATGGCCCACTTGGTTTGAAGAGGTAAGATTTGATACTGTACTGTAACTGTCACACACAATGCTTTTCTAATGTTTAACGTGATTATTGCAGTTAATACTTTGTACCAGGGGGATGTCACTGCAATAAAAGGAAGTGAATTCAATACAACTGTCTTGTCTTACAAAGCCTTTTTTATTGGTGGGGATAAGGAACAGTGTTCATAGTAGCATTAATACTGAAAATAGTTCCTGATAGGTGAATATGCTTATTGCATGCATCTGTATGTAGGTTCATTGTGGAATTTGCTTTGGACCATGCAGAACTTAAAGCCATTCAGGTGTCTGGTATAAGGAGACAAGTGTTTTGTTCTCAGGGAAGGGGTTTGCTGCTGCTGGGCTAGGAACAGCAGTTGTTTTGCATAACAGAATTACACCTTGTTTAGCTCTCTTAAAATTTCTCATGACCTGCAAACGGTGCAGACCAATCCACAACACGTGGTATGCTTAAACTGGAATGTAAGTATCTCAAACTTTGTACCTATAACACATAAAATCTGTGTTGGCCTGAATACAGGGGACTGTTCTTTTTCTTTCAGGAAATTGTAGTCCACGGGGTATGAGGAAGTACGTTGAGAAAATTACTTGTAAGCCTCAGATGCTTGTGAGTAAGTCACATTTGGCATTAACTCCACTAGTGTACATTCAACTAGTTGCAACATCTATCATAATGAAACCTAGCAAGTGTTCATTTTCTCATATGAAATGGTAACTGGAACCAATGAGTAACTTTTCAACCTCATCCATTTTGGTGTTTCCCAATGTAGCTGGGTAAAGGAGATACTTTATTTAAAAATTAACATCTAATGAATTCAGACCTCTATTTAATTCTTAATTTAGTGAATTCTTAATTCATTAAATATTTGTTAAATTTTTCCATGCATTTAAATCTCACTTAAGAGTGAGATCTGGAGATCAGGGACAAGGAATGCTTGTTAAAAACGACACTGCCAACTTCTATGGCATTGGCTGTAAGCTGTTTCAGTTTGTAAAGAAGCAGAGGGGGAGGCATGTAGCAGTTTTTCTAGATCCTTTTATTTGCTGAAGGATTATGTTCAGCTGTAACGGGAGCTAGGCTTCAGGTCTCGGATGACAGAGGCAGTGAACAGTATTCTGCTTTAGTATCACTGCTGTGCTTCCCTTCGGTGCAGGGTGAAAACTGGGCTCTTACCAGTGTATCATCAGATCTTGCTACTCTGCTTCTCAGTAGCATGGTGTGGAACAGGTTTTTGAGAGTGGAGAGTGCAGGTTAGGTTGATGGCAGCCAATGCCTGCATTTAAGAGAGGGGGAAACAAGATGAGGGAAATCACTTTTGAACTGGAGGAGTAAATGTTGAGGCAGCAGCATGCACATTCCCCAGACAGAAGCAGGGAAGACATTTCATGTACACCCAGAGGCCTATCTCACAATGCCAGAGAAACCTCACATTCACTGGGGCTATATACATCAAACTTTCTGAGAAGGTGTCCACCCATAAGTTACACCTGGTCACGAGGATAACTCAAGCCCAAGATGACTGCTTACACCCCTGCTCTTACTGCTATCAGCAGGCACAGAACTGAGAACTGACGGCGGACTCCGAGCACCGTTTGCTTGCTGGGCTCGCCCTTCGTTGTGCTCGCTCTGTCCAAAAAGGGTGGTGCTGTAGTTCCGGCTATCTGCTTTCTCCTCTGCCAGCCTGCCGCCCTTCCCTCCTGCACTGCTGGTGCGGGCCTGTGCAGTCACGCTTATCTGCACGTCACAGTATAGCGGGGAGGTGAAACGGAGACGTTGGGGATTTTATATGTCAGACAGCGCTACATGTGGCTTTTTAAACCACCATCCTTCCAAGAGAACGCGCCCCATCGCAGCCCTGCCGCTGCCGCTCTTTTACCGCTCCTCGCACAGCCCCTGGTGGCGGCATGCGTCTCCCTCCTCCTCTTACTGCCTGATGCGGGGGTTGGGACGCTTCTCCTGTCGCGCGCGGCGGCCCTTAAACCGGGAGAGAGAGACCGGGCGAACGGAAGCGCCCGGGAAGAGCTGTCCTGGCGGTAAAGCCTGTCCGTGGTGGAGCGCTGGTGTTCATGCGTGGTGCTGGAAACGGATTTTATCGTGTCCCAGTGACATCTTGCAAAGGACACCGTTCTCAAGTAGCACTTGAATGTGAGAAAAGGGCCTCACAGCAATGCTCCCACCCTTTGGGGATCTGGGGAAAACGGATCCGCACAGCTGAACGGGGATGCTGGGGAGGGACTCTTCATCGGTAGGACACGAAATAACGGGTTTAAACTTAAACAGAGGAAGTTCAGGTTAGACATAAGGAAGAAGTTCTTTACTGTGAGGGTGGTGAGGCACTGGAATGGGTTGCCCAGGGAAGCTGTGAATGCTCCATCCTTGGCAGTGTTCAAGGCCAGGCTGGACAGAGCCTTGAGTGACATGGTTTAGTGTGAGGTGTCCCTGCCCATGGCAGGGGGGTTGGAAGTAGATGGTCTTAAGGTCCCTTCCAGCTCTTAACTCTTCTGTGATTCTCTAACTAGCCAAAGCAAGCTCTAGTGTGATGTTCTGGGTCTTGGTACCTCATCTTCATAGTCCCTTGGGTCCTGCCACAGTAATAATTACGAATTCGTGCTTTAAAATCATGATTTGTAGTGAAGGATATAGGAAATACTTTTTCCTGAGAGTTACTAGGAATTAAAATAGTAACGCCAGGTGGCACTATTGGCTTTCAACAGTCCAGGTAATGCAGGAAACCGAATTGTCAAAACACACTCGTCTTGGCTATTCCTCTGTTTCATGGGCGACTTAGTGATTTCAACAACGCATATCAGCATAACAGTATTCTTTCGTGTTTGGTTGTGTTTTGTTGTTGTTTTTTTTTTGCATAATTTTTGCTGTGGGCTGGAGAAAAGGTTAGTTGTTCTTCCCAATCCTCCCCCCCCCCCCCCCCCCCCCCCCGCAGAAAAATACTCTGCTTTTTTTTTTCTAAAGGATGCAGGAACCTCCATGCACAGAATGATAGAATGGTTAGAGTTGGAAAGGACCTTAAGATCATCAGTTTCCAACCCCCCTGCTATGGGGCTCACACTAAACCATGTGGCCCAACGCCCTTTGGACAGCCTGTTCCAGTGCCTCACCACCCTCACAGTAAAGAACTTCTTTCTTATATCTAAGCTGAACTTCCCCTGTTTAAGTTTGAACCCGTTACCCCTTGTCCTATCACTACAGTCTCTAATGAAGAGTCCCTCCCCAGCGTCCTTGTAGGCCCCATTCAGATATTAGAAGGCTGCTATGAGGTATTCACACTCTTCTGTTCTCCAGGCTGAACAGCCCCAACTTTCTCAGCCTATCTTCATATGGGAATCATCCTGATGGCCCTCCTCTGGACTTGCTCAAACAGCTCCATGTCCTTTTTATGTTGAGGACACCAGAACTGCACACAATACTCCAAGTGGGGTCTCACGAGAGCAAAGTAGAGGGTCAGGTTCACATCCTTCGACCTGCTGATCAAGCTCCTTTTGATGCAACCCAGGATACAGTTGGCTTTCTGGGATGCAAGCACACACTGAAGCTGGCTCATGTTCATTTTCTCATTGACGAACACCCCCAAGTCCTCCTCCGCAGGGCTGCTCTGAATCTCTTCTTTGCCCAACCTGTAGCTGTGCCTGGGATCACTTCGACCCAAGTACAGGACCTTGCACTTGGCTTGGTTGAACTTCATGAGGCTGGCATTGGCCCACCTTACAAGCGTGTCAAGGTCCCTCTGGATGGCATTCCTTCCCTCCAGCATATCAATGGAACCACACAGCTTGGTGTCATCAGTGAACTTGCTGGGGGTGCACTCAATCCCACTGTCCATGTTGACAGCAATATTGACAGTATCTGCACTGATCCAGCCTGTTGAGTTCAAACAGCCTTTTTACCACCTAGTAGCTACATACAGCACTGGGTGATGCTCACTCAGTGGCTATTTCCAGCTGTGTTAACCCTGGAAAGCGGAAGGATAAATGCTGCAGGCAGAGAGAGAATAAGCATCAGAAAACAAAACAGACCAACATCTCCCCTGTAGCTTCAGAGTGATCCATAAAATTTCAATAAGGTATTTTTGCTTCATACCTAACAAACTTCCACCACCTTCTATAAGTACAGGGGTAGGAGCAAGATGATAAAAGTTTTATGTATCCCAAGATATTCAGGTATTGTCTATTTTAAATATTGGTGGAATAGAACAGTGTAGCATTAAGCATTTCCAAGCTTATTAAGCTTAAATTTCTCACTCTGTTGAAGTGTTTTACAACTAATAACTAAATCTTGGAACACCTTTATGCAATTAAATTTATCTCTGCCAAACAGATGGTAAAATGGAGTCAGAAGAAAAGGATTTCCACAGGCTTTGGCTGAAATTTAAAGAGCTGGGATGAGCTTTGAAACATCCTCACTCTGAGCCCTGTATGGTCATTTGTTCTTTCAGGTCGAGCTCTGTGGCTGGTTGGTTTAACTATAGTGTTGCAAATTAGAAGGATTCTCAACCATCTTTGTTTTGCTGCTGTTGCTGATTACATAGACTAACATTTGAACAGTTTTTAAATATACTATACAGGAAGCAGTGGGTAGGATATACGTACAAAATAATATGCCAGATAATACAATGTTGGCCTATGTGTTTTATAAATATTTTGGTCAATTTAATGTAACTCAGCTCTGATGAGCATTGGAGGTAACAAAAAAAAAAAAAGAAAAAAGGCAAAAAAACCCAGTGCAAAAATATAAGCATGAAAGTTAAGCGTTATTGCGTGTAATAAAGCATTTTAAGCCCTGGGAACCTAGAAATTATAGCAGGTCAAAGCATAGTGCCTGCCAAGAGGAGCTTGCACCTCAAAGGAAATGACTCTTTATGGAGTCAACCAACAACAGCCATTTACAGTATTAACATGTGAAATCAAGACTAGCCACAGAATAGTGTGGGCTTTCACATGGGATTTTAGCTAACCTCATATAGAATTTCGCTTTACTTTTGATTGCACAGTTGAGTGTGTTAATTTTAAAGGTCTTTATTCCCATTAAATTTTTTTTGTATCAGCTACCAATAGTAGTAATTCAGACATGGTAGGATTTATTGGGAAAATTCAAGCTTT